TATCTATCTATCTATCTATCTATCTATCTATCTATCTATCTATCTATTTATTTATAGCTGGATCTCCATATAACACATGCTGTGTTATTTTTGCTCTCATTATGTCTTGTCAATAGAGTTTCCTTTATGACATGTCAATGTCTCTAACCATTTTCAGCCTGTCAGGATGTCCACGTGCCAGAAAAGGAGGTTTGAAGCTCACACCAAACAAGGATGACAAAGACGAGCAGGAGCTTAAGTATGAGATTTTTGTCCTCATCCTGCTGTCGTGCTTTTAGGTTAAAAATAAAACAAGATAATATAGTGAAACTACATCCTGCTTTTGTGCAATATACCTGCAGGCCATTAAGTTAAACAAAGAAAATAATTCTTCCCTTGTCCTAACATTAGTGAATTATTTTCTGAAGGATTAGCAGTGTGTTTTGTGGGATTTTTCTGGGGGGTTGTGCTTGTTCTATTTTGTGAATGTAATATCTGGCTTATAACTCTTCCCTAAGTGCTTTCTTTATAATTATAGTATATCAAGAAAATGTTGAATTGCAGATGGCATAGCGCTCATTTTCATTAATCACTGTTGTCTGTGAAAGTGTTATTGGAAAAAAAAGATAATGTAATTGATTTGCAGTTTAAATCCGCCAGAAGTCAGAAATATGAGCCTTTGTTTACTTATACATCTGGACCCAGATTTTTTCTTTTTAATTACTAATGCAAGGCCATGAGCTTAGGAATTAAACTGGAGTAGATCTCATACACATTAAGAGAGAAAGGGAGAGAACGGGGGAGAAAGGGGGAGGGTAGCAAATGTCCCTAGATTATTGTAAATAGTGGGCCATATGGCATGCCTCCATTGTCTCGAGGCCTTGCATCAAGCTACCTACCTGTGGTAGATGTAAGTAATGGGACCGGTGTTGTTTTGTCCTCTAAGTGCTGCCATGCTGTTGAGAAACAAAATGCTGAAACAGGCTTTTTGCAGCAGCACTCTATACCATGTGTGCCATTTGTATCATCTCAGGTGACCTTTCACCTTTGTCAATAAGGGAACGGGTTAGCCACCCCCAAATTACATTCTTTCGCATGAGGGGAAACATTGCAATTATCTGTAATTCATGTCACTCCATTACTGACCTGCAGGAAACAGGCCTGAAAAATCAACTGACAAACTCTTAATGATATTCTGCATGAGCTCCGCTCGTGCAAATATTACTCACCTCAAAAAATCTATGCTCAGAAAGGAACAGAGCACTCATTCGAGCTCAAGTTTTAGTAGATTAGTAACTTATAGTTAATGCGATTATTTGAGTCCATCTCTAGTTTTTGTCGACTTTATTTTTAATCAGCATTTGAATGGATTAATCAACTTAATGGTTAACAAATCTTCCGGTCTAGTTATTGAAAGAGATTGTTTTTAATGGTCTTTTCTTTTCCTTTTTTTTTTGTCATGAAGTAGTTGATATTTTTAGCTGTTGAGTGATTTTAGTTTAGCTGCTGTTCAAAGCTGTTGCTAGATGTAAGCTAGTCAGAAAAACTTCAGTAGTGTGTGGAGCCTTTCAGTAACTAGAACATTTGTCTCTGTGATAGGTGTCCAGTTATCGGATGTGACGGACAGGGCCATATATCGGGAAAATACACATCCCACCGCAGTGCAGGCAGTTGTCCACTTGCTGCCAAAAGACAGAAGGAGTCCTCCATCAATGGGCTGCCCTTTGCCTGGAAGGCCAATAAACAGGAACTGCCTCATTGTCCCTTGCCTGGCTGCAATGGCCTTGGACATGCCAATAATGTGTTTGCCACTCATAGAAGGTGAGGTTTCCCATCCTCCATTTTATCTATTTTGTGTTCCTACTGTATATCATCACTTTGACCTCCATTCCAATTTTTTATTTGGTGATATGATTTGTTCTAAAATGATCTTTTGTGGCCTGCTTGAATAGCTTGTCAGGTTGCCCACTGAATGCACAGAGTATTAAAAAGAAGCACTCAGAGGAGGAGATGATGACTATCAAACTCAAAGCCAGCAGTGGTAAGCTACACTGAAATCGTCTTGAGCAGTTATGTTTCTAAAACCATATAAATGTCAGTACTTTCAGACTGATGATGACAAACGAGTTTATGCCCTGTGACACAGGTGTTGAAAACAGAGAAGACATTCAACATTTGGATAATGAAATCAAGGAATTGAATGATTCAAACATGAAAATTGAAGCAGACATGATGCAGCTTCAAACCCAGGTAAGTATTTAATCTGACAAACTCGTGTCAAAAACAACAAATTGAAGTCATTGCTCACTTAATTTGATGATTTTCCACTCGTTTTGTACCCGAAAGCAGATTTCATCGATGGAATGTAACCTAAAGACAATTGAGGAGGAAAACAAAATGATTGAACAGCACAATGACAGCCTCCTGAAGGAGCTGGCTCGCCTTAGTCAAGCTCTCATCAACAGTCTAACAGACATTCAGCTGCCTCAAATGGTACAGTAAGCCTTGACCCAAGACCTCATCACAACTCTTTACATCAAACCTGTCTGAAAGAAATCTAATTATCTTCAAATTGTTGTTTCTGCTGTGCTGTTTTCACTAATGGTCAAACATGTTTTTGTTGCAGGGACCCATCAGTGAGCATAATTTTGAAGCCTATGTGAACACATTAACTGATATGTACAACAACTCGGAGCATGAATACTCTCCGGAGTGCAAGGCCCTCTTGGATAATATCAAACAGGCTATTAAGGGCATCCATGTTTAAGCTGTAGAGCTACCAAGAGGTTTCTTTGACTTGGGATAATGGCACTAGATAGCTCTATTTTACTGAAGAGTGCTGGCTCGGCTGCATGTATAAGACAAGGCTTTTGGAAAAAGGCTTTTGGAAATGTGTTTGGCATTTCCCGGTAAACACACTGCACTGAGAAAATTACCAGACAGATTTGTAATGCTTTTACTGTTTCTGCATTCAATTGATATGTTCATCCTGGTGAGATTTTTTACCCCTCTCTTGCACTTAATTATTTTGTATGGTTTGCTTGATTTGAATCTGTATGTGTTCATGTCATTCTTGTATTATTGCTATTTATTATTATATTTGTTCATCAGTGTATTTATTTCCCTGATTTTTATTTATTTCTCGAATTGTAAATGCTTAATATTTGAGAAATCTGTTGACTTTCTGCACATTGTAAATTATATAGAAACATTCCAGTTTCATGGCATACTTTCGCCATCTAGTGTTGAAAAACCTATACGATTATTACTGTTATTATGAGACAATAGGTTGAATTTCCCTTCAAAGCAAAACTTACCAAAACGACTAAGCATTAATATTTTTAAGCATTGCTTTCGCTTTCTTTATTGGAAAATGAATGTATGGTAGGGCAAAGTGTGATAAAAATAAAATGCAATGCCACTGTACTGTAACTTTTTCTATTCAACCAATAACAGCTGAATGCAACCAGGAGGTGACACTGAGCAAGGATGCAACAGAATTCAAAGAACTGAATGTCGGATTTTGCTTTGCAACGTGTGCCCCAAGAAGAGTGCAACATGAATTACAAGTTCACTTTGTCAAGATGTCTTTTCTTTTTTTTTTTCTAAATATAGATATTAAACTGCCTTCTGTGCACACACGTGGGAGTGTGCACATAGTATGTGCCTAAATGTATATGAATCCATAAAAATATACAAGTAATATGTTTTGTGGTAGGACAGTATTATGTGGATGGTGTCTGATTTATTATACAGTACAATTATTTTCATAGGAGGACCCGTTCCTGATGACTGTTTGAATACCGTTGTTTCAGTAGCTGTAACCTCAGAGCCCAGCTTTGAAAATATTGTGACTGAGATTGAAAGTCTGGTGTTTATTTTCATTTTTGCTCGCATGAAGTGAGGACAAAACTGATTCTACTCCCTCTTTTACCCTAAAACTGCTGACAGGCCTTAACATTTCAACCAGTTTTAAAGTTTGAATGGTCTTGAGGCAGATTTGAAAAAAAGCTGTTTCAAAACGGAACCACAACGACATGCAGTTCAGTTTAATCGCTAAATTTGTGTTATTTAAAAATCTTAAAAAACATAGTTGATTGTTAATTGATTGTTTGTTTGCATCAATTGCACTTTTGTACTGAAATAATTTTGTGTTTTTCTGCCCTTGGCTTCAGCTAAAACAAAAACATGGGTGATCATTTCACTGTTCCATATTTTTTTAATCTCTCAACCTTACATAAAGGTAATCCACTGGTTAAAGTGAATTCATTTAAGCAATACATTTTTCATTTCTGCAAACAGAAGTCAAAGACATGTAGCCTGGGAGGTTTTTGAAGAAAAAAGAGAACAGCAAGGAGCCAAATTACAGAAATATCGGACCCTATTTTATCCAAATATCCAACATCTTAAAAATAATCTTTTTTAAAAAATTAATCACATTCTTTAAACCTTACAATCCTTTATCATTTTATTTAACTCCTAAACCACACATTGTTTGCTCAGGAAGTTTTGTGAATAATATTTATTTTTATTTTCCTTGTTAGTATTTGATGTTTTGTAATGTGAAATGCTTTTTTGTGGAACAATAGTAGTATGATATGAAATTGTACTGTATTTTCTTTTCTTTTACATTAAAATGTAATGCTTTTTTTTTCAGTTGAAGTAGTTTGTAAATTGAAACTTCCAATTACTTTTACTATTTCATAATAAGCAGATATGCGCTGTGTTGTACAGTTTGTGTATGGTAGAAATAAACTTTTCAAAGGGTTTTGTGGTTTCTTAAACCTTTTAAGTCAATCCACCATCCTCGTGCTTTCGTGGCTCATCAGCATCACCTAGTGGTGAATATTGCACATCACATCCAGAACAGCATGAAGGCGGCTGTTTTGAGGTTGAATTTAAAATTAAGCAACATGATGCAGATGCAGAAGGAATGTGAAATGCTCACCAGCATCACAAACCTAAATCCAATGCTTAATTAAAGCTAACTTCAGAAAACAGTTCAAAGTTTACCTGAAAAACAATTACAAATAAAATGCTATGTTCTCTAAATGTTTGGCAGCATGTCAGTCATCTCCCCGTGGCAGCCACTCCCCGGCAAAAAGAATATAAACAATTATAGATTTTGTCATATTTTCTCTGTGAGGAAGAGGGAGGAAAATAGAAGAAAACATTTAGCTAAATCGTTTTCTTTGAATAGTTCAAAGAGCAGAAGATGAATTGATCCCAAAAAGGCATAAAGTGAAATGAGGCGTATTCTCTTACCATTTGCAACACTATTGGTGTATTGTTTGTGTGTTTGTGTGTGTGTGTGTGTGTGTAAACGTCTACTCTTTCAGAATAGCACATAAATAGAATAGCACTCTTTAGCACACCAAAGTGAAATGAGGCTAAAGAAAAGTTGAATAAGGTCTCTGTATCGTCTTTTCTCACCACAAAGCGAATCTTAACGAGCCTGTTGCATTTATAAAAGAAGCTGAGGTTTTTGCTATGACCTCCACAGTCCCATCATTGGCCTCATCACCTATGCATAGATGTTTTCAGAAAAAAAAAGTTAATTAGTAGTAAAAGTTTAAATGATTGAGATGTAGGTAGGTATCTATCATGTAGGACATTTAGTTTTTGTTTATGTTTTTCTCTAGTTTTGGTCATTTTGTTTATAACGAGAACCATGTTAAAAGAAAAAGTCAACATTTCAAAATGATTTTAAGTATTTTGCTATCCTCATCTGTATGTGTTTACCTTTGTCCTCTGAGATATTTACAGGTATAGAAACGTTGAGCAGAAGCTGCACAAACTTTGAAATGTTTCCAGAAGTGGTGAATAGTACATTAGGAGCCTGGAGAGAACATCAGCGTAACTCAAATGTCCATCTTTGAAACATTATTTGACAAAATGAGACATAGTGTAGTATTGTATCGACAAATTTCTGTAAAAAATTAAACACTGATGAATATCCCAAGACTTTTATACTGTAACAGTGTAAAAATAAGTCTTAAAGTTCAAATTCATCAGTAGGGACACAAAACCAGCAACAGCCTCTTATCAATCTCAGCCCCATCCCGTGTGCCCCTTCAGGAGCCACAGGGTTAACATGACACAGCAATGGTTCTAATAATGTAATCATTTTCCGACAATATGCCGTTTGAAAAGGGTTGATATGAGTCAAAATCACAAGAAGCAGGAGGTGGACTGACTGTAAAATCAGTTCCTGTCATTCTACGCAATGTTCTGCCTCCCTGTGATGTGGATGCAGGCTGGGAACTGTGCACACAGTGGATTAGAGTATTCTTAATTGTAGACTAAAATAAATCACATGGAGAAATTCAATCAGACTTTTTGATCTTGGTCAAGGTTTTCTGATGAGGCCAGAGTCTAACGACCTCAGGATAACTGAAAACATGGCTTCAGAATCAGGTATTGGGACACACTAACTGCAGTGTTCAAATTCAACCATTCTTAGGATAACATGGCAGATTTTTTAAATACATTATCCAGGTCCTCCGAGAAGCCAATTAGTGGAAATTCTGACGATCCTAGTTGAGGATGGATATGATTATGAGACACTCTCAAATGCCTAGCAATTTCTCTTTAGTTCTCCGAATGCTTTGTGTTTATGCATCTGTTGCTCAGTACCTCTGTCAGCTGTGCAGAATGAAGAAATAACCCAAAAGAAAAACATCAACTCACACTGAAAAAGGTCCTCACTGTATCTTAAATCTGTATCTAAAGACAAGGAATATTTTGAATATTTATTTTGCAATCAGTGTAAATCTGTGTAAGTGTCATATAATCTGTGACCCCTCAAGATACACAATACAAAATACAACAAAATAGATCAATATAGTTTGAAAGTATCTAAATGTTCATAGTCAAAAACATTCCTCTTCAGAGTCTCTCAGAAGGCGAAAGACTTTTAATATGATTAAAATATTTTCTTATCTCCCAGAAAATTAGTTTACTTTCCAGTGCAAGCTGACCAGTCCTGACCTGCATACATCTGCTCACCACAAATATTTTCCTTATTAAACCAGGTGATCTTCTACTCCCACACAGCTGGCCAGAAACTATCCATGGGCTAAATTTAGTTTCCTCATTAAAGGGAGCCGCATGAGGTTAGAGGGTGCATGATGCTTTAGAGGATCTTTCTATTCTTAACATTCTCTTCTTAAAGTCATGATAATGAACAAGCTTTCTCGTGGGATATACCTCTCTTTCCTCTGCAGTTCTTTTCCCATAGAACTGTATTGGTGAAGAATGCTTTTTATTAGTTCATATGCAGGTAACTTGGCTGTGGTAATACTCTCTCCAAAAAGAGAGCACTTAATGTTACCTTTAGTTGTCCAAAAACTTGTCGTTGTTGTGGATCCCTCAAAGGTCCTGCTGCTGGACCCTTGTATTTTTCAAAATACTGCTTGAAAATGTAAATATATCTTTCAGGGCGTCTTAAAGTTAGAAAATGTGACTTGGGCCACACTTATCAGCCATATAGTTTAATAAGTTATTGTGTCCACTTTTTGGACCGTGAACCGAGACAACATGTGCGATTCATCGATTCTTGGTTGTAAAAGATAAATAAATAAACTCCTCAACTTCCTGTTTCCTGTTTTATGCTTTCATGTTGGGTCGATTCTTGAGGATGTGTGTTTGGAGCACAGGCCTACAGTGGAGAGTTTCTGGCTATATAGTGTAAAGTGAAAACCAGATCTAATGTTTATTTCTTATGAATTACAGATGCTGCCCCTATGGATGAAGACGGCCATACAATCTAAGCTTCAAAGTAAGCATGAGGGTGGGTTGATGCACAGGTAAACGATGGATCTGTGAAAGCAGCATTAAAGCTGAAAAGATTTTCCGAACAACATTCATACGCCGCCGTCCAAATAAATAAATAGATACAATAAATAACATTAAATGCTGTGTATGTAAAAACCTGACAGGGTCCAGATGCTAAACCTCACCAACCTTTAGGCCCAAGCAACCCCCTTCTCAGAGCAATTGATGTGCATTATGAAATGGATATATGAAATAGGAGGCCCAAAAAAGAACGGATGGTGCAACAGAGTGGTAAACAGAATGGCTTTCTGGGCATGTCTTCGGTTTGCACTTCAGGCTATAAATGTCCACAAACATGGGCGGTGGCTATAAGAAAGGAAAGTTCTTGTTTTAATTTTGTTTAGCTTTTTGTTGTTTAGTTTTTGTGTGTTATCCATCTTAGTTTATTCCAGTTAAATACACTAAAAAAGTTACACTATTAAGGCTAGTTTTCTGTGTTTGTCAGCTGGAAGGTTGAATAAATTATGTCTATGCAACAGGTGTGCTTTGTAAAATAAGCCTAGAACCAGCACCTGAGCACTGATTAGTCTGAAAGAAAACAAAACCCACCAAAAAAAACTCAGAAAAACTTTCTTTCGTTCAATGCTTCAAACACATAAAGGAGCAAGAGACGTTTAACTTCTCAAAGAAAGTGATAGATAGATAGATAGATAGATAGATAGATAGATAGATAGATAGATAGATAGATAGATAGATAGATAGATAGATAGATAGATGTGAAGTGTAGAGCAACAGTGCTTCCCTCTTTCGACATTTGAAACCACGTGACCTATGTTTACATCCTCCTCTCAGCTGTTTCTTTCTTCGTCCACTCCGACACAACGGTTCACCGTAACTACTTCAGCTTTCCATCCCAACTCGCTCGTTAGCTGACTAAACACGAAGTCATTAAGTTAAAAGCCTGTCAACGTGGCTGTCACTGACTGTCGCATTGCACGGGGCATCCAGTTGCAAGGGGTGAGTAAATGCGACACAACATTGTGGGAATTGTTGTTTTCCCCTTGTTGACTGCCTTTTGTTAGTGTGCTATATGCTTTAACTCGCTGAGGGGTCGTCTATTTTTTTTTTTTACTTTAAGTTGCACCACACTAAACGAGCGGTGTTGTGCGTCCTCGGGCTGTGTAACAGCAGGATAAAGAGGAGAGCTTACCTAACCTGCTTTGTCTCTGTTTTGATGATGGCGCACTCGGGCCCACCAAAAGCTAACGTTAGCCAGCTCAGCGACCACTAACAAACCGTCTACCATCTTTAGGCGACGAAATATACTTAAACCTATGGTGTAAAACCCCTGAACTCACGTTTATATTCGCACATTAATATATCGAAGTGTGGTCAGGCTGTACATGCAGGCTGGATGGGACTTTTATGAGGAAATGCAAAAACATCATGCGGAAAAGCTCAGAAAAATGCAGCGACACGTTTGTTTTTGCGTGGTATTTTCGCGCAGGAGTTATGAAAACACACCCGAGTGATATTTCATCCTCCTTAACGAACCGGTTTGGCTAGTTGCAGTGAAGATTGGGGTTAATCGCACTGCAGAGAGCTGGCCACAAACTGCGTGTAGCTCGACAAGTGGGAACAAAAGCTTGATGAGCACTTAGACACAACACTGACTCTCCATGCATTCATTACAGCAGCTGTGAGGAATGTTTGACTCGCCGTGTGATTCTCACAGGTACACGCGTGTGAGGTTAACTAAGAAGGGTGATTAATAACGCTCGACAACATTTTAAGAAAACGCTGTTGTTTTGCCTCGTCGTCACACGCAGTGCGAAGAAAGTGTTCAGGCCGCCGATTGGCTGACGGACCGCTATCTGTGTGGCAACGGCAGCACGTGACCAACCGGGGAGCGCAGATTGGCTTCTTCGGATGTCAGTTAGGTGAATTTATAACATCTGTGGACGCCATTGCGTGATCATGTTGGAAAAAAAGAGAAAAAATGAAAAGAAAACAAACGCCTGCATTGAATATTGGGCAATATCCTAACTTAAAAAAGTTATTTATATAACTTTACGTAAAAGTAACCTCATTTACTTAGGACCAACGTCAGAAAATAGTGCACACTGCTCCACAACATGAAAGAATCAAGGAAACTGACAAAAAAACAAAGCTAGAGATCTGGAAGCCCTGTAAATGCTCCTCTTTCTTTACACATTAGTAAGAGGGGGAAAAAACACAAGGTCTGCTTGGTTTAATGGTGTTGTTATTTTCAGGAGGAAATGGAGTTTGATTTAGCGTATAAGTAAATAGCCCTCCAGGTAAAACCCTGTCTGTCTGACAGGGAAGTGATTCACGTATAATACCAGTTTCTTTCATAACACATTTAATATTTTCTACCTTGACCAAAGTGCTTTTCATAAAGATCCAGACATTGCAAAATATTAACCAGAAATTAAAACACATCAATATAAATGGCCATTCAGTCCAAAAATTCTAGATGAATTAAAGGAAGGTAAATGTAAAGAAAATAATTAATGATAGTAAGGAATGCCCAGTCAAGTTACAAAGGTGTATGCTCATATAAGATTTAAAAACCTGTGTTGAATATGTAAGCATTGTTAGTCCCTTCATTTTGGGAATAAGTCTCAGGATAACTAAAAACAACTACAACGTAGATCTGAGGGATTTTTTTAATGCAGAATTTCAACCTTGTCTTAAAAGCTTGTGAGTACTCATCATGGGCCAACATGGACAGCAGGCACAAATGTGACCAAGGCATGTTAGCCCGTTAAGTGAGAGGAATACAAGTTGATTTATTCACACACACACTAGTGTGCATGGTGCAGCAAACACTACCTTTTGCTGTATAAGTCTAATTAAAAGAGAGTTGTGTGAGTCAAATTGGAACAAACAGGATATGCAAATACTGTAATTAATTTTTAATGCAGCTTAAGATTTTAGGCATAGCCTGAGGAACAGGTTTCCTTTATTCCAAATAGCTTTGGTTTATCTACTGGTAAGCATTGAAATAATCCAATCTGAAGATGGTGCTAAAGGAAAGGTAATCATAGTGGGCTGTTCATTTTACCGTAGTACATGTTCTAAAGTTCAAGGCCTACAATATAAAGTCATGATATAATATAACTGCAGCACTTTGATAACTCAACATTTTTAGGTAGAAATGATCTTGATTTAATGAGTTTAGAAATGAGCTTAGCTTAGTTTGAGTTAGATCTTTGTGGCACACTTCTGTGTGAAAATGTGTATGGAGCATTTTTATTTGACACTGCAGCAGTAGTGGAGAAATGACTTGAAATAACTCAATTTTTCTGCAGTCAGGGGGTGCACATCAGTCATCCCCCCACCCCCCAACACGTAAACATGTTGCCCTGCAGATTTTGAGTGGAGGATGTGTAAAATGTTTTCCTTGGGGCTGGAGGCAGAAGGACGTGTCAGTGAGTCATCACAGAGTAAATGTTTGAACCAAACGTCAGTTTTCACTGTTGGAAAAATGATAAAAGTATGAATTGGAACCAAATTGTAGTGGTACAGCAGAGTCATTGTGATACATTAGAGCAGATGAGATTAATTTAGCAAATTTAAGAAGACATAAACTGTTAGGGTTTGTTGCGCATCTGTTTTCTTGAATTACATTATAACAAGCAGGTGCTTTCTACTTTTTCTACCAGATCTTCTCTTGCAGAGAAATACTTTCAATTTCTTGTATTAGATTATCCTTGAACATGTTTGCTCACACATGTAATTAAGCCAGATTTTATTACTGACACCTCATCATGCCTTTTATGTTGTGTCCTTTCCTCACATTTCATTTAAACTGCAGTTAAAATAGAATATAAAACATTAACAAATCATGCTTGAAAAATGCAGAGCCGAAGGCAGGATTTGTAAATACAAGAAAACATTTATAGGCCAGTTTATTAAGTACATCGGTACTTGTGCAGTTCGATATAGCCACCGAGACATAAATTCTAACTTTACAAAGGTAATGGTTTTTTCTTCTTGTTGGCTTTATTAAAATTGATTTTATTGCTGACTTTAAATACAAAGCTGCTGTTTTCCTGGACTCTGTTCTACTTACTGTCTTGATACGTGTCAGAGTATCAGACTCACCCCTGAGTGTAATGAACTTCAGTCAAACAAAATCACTAACTTTTACCTCAGTGCTAAACGCTTTCATTAAATGCACACCTCTAGGACAGCGTCTATAAACCTGAACGTAATAAGCATCTGTACTTCTTTGTACATGTTGGCCTTCTAAATTGGCCTCAGAGCGTTTATTTCCCATGCTCAATGCAGCTTGAAACACAAACTGGGAACTGAATATAAAGGACTGAATTTGATCCGTAATAGATGGCTTGCTTCTGCAATGTTCCTCACAATATTTAATCATGCGTCTGTTGATTTTTCTTATTTAAAGTTCATATAAGGGATGTTCTCTGGTATTAAATCGTAGACATATGGTCATGATTATAATTTTCATCACTACAAATTTGCTGGTTGACCCCCCCCACCCCCTTGTGTGTCATGCTGAGCTGCCTTTACAGTCCTTTGGTATCTAGTTACAGCACCAGGACCGATCTTGTTTTGTCTGAGGATCTATTACATGTTTCGTCAGTCTGCACTTTCCAGCGAGGTGTTTTTAGCCGGCTTGGAGACCAGACGTGACCTCAGGTGATGTTGTGACACTTGGTGTACACAACCACCGTGTGTGTGTGCACTTTGCAGTGAACCCCTGTTTACGCAGGGATGTTTTTATCTGTTTAAAGCCAGTTTCACTGTAGCAACCATCGCTCCTGCTTTGGCCATTCTGATTTATGATAAAGGAGGGCACCCATAACGACCTCTGTCTGCAGACTGTGGAATATCAGTGGTAAGGTTACAGCAGTACCCAGAAGCAATTTACTTGAATACCTTGCCTGACCCATTTTCCTGGATTTTCTCCCAATGCCCGCAGAAGGAAAAGGGGGGATGAAAAATGCTCTGCTGTATGTCCAGTGATGGTGAGAGAATCAATGATTTCTTTTTGCCTGTGAGAAAGAGCCAGTGGAAAATTACCTTACCGGGCCTCCCACTACAAAGTCACCTCTGAATTTAATCTTTATGAGCTGAGTCAGATGGGAGATGCTGAGGAGGCAGGGAATTCAAAACTTGCCTCCTTGGGCTGCATCTGAAGCTACCAATCAGAAACATTCATAGAATGATTATGAGGGTATTTATCCCCTCCAATATTTTATTTTACAGAGACGTATTGTGTAATCATGCCAGTCAGCGGTTTGTGCCTCCTTAACATGGAACACCCTGCTTTTTCTGACTCTGTTTTCATGCTCGGTATATCAGTCACAAGTTAAACCAAATGGAAATCTTTATTTTTCATTTTCTGGCCTGTTTTAAACGTCTGATAGCTTCAAAGCTGTCTAGAACAACAGAGAAAGTACAAAAACAGAAAATATACACTAAACAATGTCAAAGAACAGAAATTCTATTGAATTTCACCCTGGCTTTATCAACTCTGAAATTTGTTTGTCAGTGTTTTCGGTCAAGTGTCCTAAACAAGATTGAAAAATTCTGCTGGCATGAATTCGTGATGGGTGCATTAAATGAAAGCATAACTTGACTTGAAATGAAAAATCTCCTTGCGCTCTCTCTTGTTTATTGCTTGTATGTTTATTTATTTATTTACAGTGTCTCATTTCAGGCCACATTTGGCTCTTTGTCATTTCATCTATTTCATGATAAATTTGACAGAAACACATCCATATTTTTGCACAAATTTGTATTTCTTGTGTTGGAGAGTCTATATTGCCCACTTTCGAAGTCCTCTCCACTTATTTATTTGTGTAACTTTCTGACACAACTCTGGCACAGTGGATGTCAGCTTTAGTTGCCTGACAGCATATGACTGGGAGAATACCTGTCTCCAGTCTGATTATTGAAATCTAACATGTGCAGGTTCATCTAAGGTTTATTGTCCACACTAATTATCTTTGTGTTTCATTTTCATTTGCACACTGTAAAAATAATAATAATAATCCTTCAAGGACTCCGTTTTCCAGCCAACAGCACGAATGTGAAGAAAAAAGAAAAAACAGAGAGATGGAAATTCAAAAAAAGAAAAGGAAAAATGTGAATGTTCTTATCAGAGTAGTTGGAGGAGCTTTTTAAAAGAATAGATTTTTATCTAGATTTTGAGATTTAAAAAAAACTTTAATGTTGCGTTACTAGCAGTGATTTCATCGAGGTACGCACTGCTGTGTGAGAGCTACTTATACTATTCATATGCTGTTCTCTAACAGTACAGCATGTCCTTTTTTATTTTGTCATGTGATTAGAAGATTGCTGAGGTAATAAATTACAGTAATGATGGTTTTGTTCCATTTCTGAAAGCCATGCCAGCATGTATTATACAATGGCCCTCGAAGGCAAACTGAATGAAGCCATCTTCAAAGGTATTAACCGCATTTCCTGCTCTGACATGTCAGAATCTTCAGGGAAAATGGAAAACTCTTCAGTCCTTTGTTCTCTTCTGTTAATTTTTCATCGCGAGACAGTTCTAGTTGTGGACTAAAGTATGTTCATTTTGAACAGCATCTCATCACTGCATCTCATTCATAGTATTGAACAAATATTACATTTTGACGTTAAATTTTTTACTTTTATTTTTCAGCTCACTTCCTGCCTAGACATGAGCATTGTCTGAACCCATATTTAAAAAGCTCCTTCAGCCCGGCTACATCTCCATGCTGCTGTGAGGAGGACTAACTCATCCTGTGAACAAGCTCAGCCCTTGTGCGTGTCGTCTGTTATCACCATGGGGGGAGCTGTGAGCGCCGGAGAGGACAATGACGATCTCATTGACAACCTGAAGGAAGCTCAGTATATCCGCACAGAAAAAGTCGAGCAGGCTTTTCGGGCCATAGACCGCGGTGACTACTATCTGGACGGTTATCGGGACAGTGCCTACAAAGACTTGGCGTGGAAGCATGGCAACATACACCTGTCCGCTCCGTGCATATACTCTGAGGTTATGGAGGCCCTCAAACTGCAGCCAGGACTTTCTTTCCTTAATCTTGGCAGTGGAACTGGCTACCTGAGCACGATGGTTGGCCTCATCATAGGTGTGTAGCCTTATTTCACAGTGATTTTTTTCAGAGGTGCTCTCTTAAATCTCGACAGACAGATTTAAGAGAGAGTGAGAGAATGAGAGTGCATACGTCGTTGACGGTACAAGGGCTGCACATATTTTCATTTATATAGTACTTGATGTAGTTGTTGGTGTTCATTACTAAAAAAGGAAAAAAGGAGACATTGTTTTTGAATAACTTAAAATCTGTAAAGAGTATCCCAATCCAGTTGATGTTGGACTTATTGGTTTCATATATGATATATGTAACAGCATAATGTGACGCATTTACTGCGTAATTTTAGTTCCAATTATTCCTACTGTTTTGTTTGTTCCTTACCAGGACCATTTGGCGTGAACCACGGAGTTGAGCTCCACAAGGATGTTGTTGAATATGCCAGACAGAAACTGGATGACTTCATAAAGAATAGTGACAGCTTTGATAAGTGAGTACATGCCTTAAACGAATATTCCATTTTGGGAAATGTGTTGATCGTTCCATCTAAATTGTAAAACATACCAATTAGCCTTTTTTTCTAAGGGTCATGCACTGTATTATAAACTCCTGAGGCTCTGCTGATTGCCTGGCATTGCAAACAGTTGTGGGCTGATTTTAGGTTTTGGTGGATTGAGCTCAAAGGTAGCAGACTGGAATTAGCCATGCATCGGGTGCACAAATCCAAGCTAAATCTCCAGAAAAACAAATTAGAATAGTTTGAATCCAGGTCAATTTTTTTTTACATCAAAGAGTGTCAATATGTGTGGAATGACGTTGTTCCATGCACTGGAACAAGGTTGTGGAATGACTTGGATCTCTAAATGTCAAGTCATTATTAATCAATTCGAAACTTGATTTATATTTCGATTCCTGACCACTCTAGGACGTAGACACACCCCTAGTATTATTATGATTATATCATTGATATCAATTAATGTAAATCAAGAGATCATCTGCTCCCATGACAACCCTACAGATGAAGATATGGATCATAGTATATAGGCTGTTTTCTTCTTTAGTTTAATTGCGGTGGGGTTTGAGACATTTTTGTCTAAGAGCTCTCAAATCTTTAAGTATTAGCTGCCTTTTTTAGGTATCATTATTTGCATCTGGTTTGCACATGCTCACCCCCTCCACTTTCTCGGTTTGTTCGCAGAAAGAGATGCATACATGTCTTTTGTGTCTGCATCATTTAGGAATCTGGCCCAGTTGTTGTACACAATCCCTGGATAGATAACACAGGAATTAAACGATAATTATGACCTCGATGACTTTAGCTGTGACTTGCAAAATGACCTGCACTTGAATTTTCTGGCAGTTTCAGTGTAGATCCTTTGCGGGTTGCAAGGTTTTTTGCTTCTTTTAGTAAATTATACCTTTTTCTCCATCCTTATTTGAACATATTCGTCCCTCTGATGCTACATGATGGACACATCATCAGCCGGGATATTTGTTAGCTGTCAGTTCTCCAGAAAATGACCCACTATGTTTACAAATAAGCTCAATTTTGCTGTCTTTGTCTAATAAAAGCCCATTATGTTTGATTTGGTGGGTGTCCATAAATGATCAAAACATTGTGACTATTTCATTTTGTGCAGGTTTGAGTTCTGCGAACCTGTCTTTGTGGTGGGAAATTGCCTTGAAATCTCAACAGACAGTCACCAATACGATCGCATTTATTGTGGTGCTGGAGTTCAGAAAGACCATGAAAATTACATGAAAGTGCTGCTCAAAATTGGAGGCGTACTGGTGATGCCTATAGAGGACCAGGTAAGTGCAGTAGGCCATCAAACTGTTAGAAAACTGACACATTCTGTTTGCCATTCAAAATTCAAAACCTATAGGAACAAGGTAAAATAACTTTGACCCACAAGACTGCCTGTGCAACTTTCCATGTATTATTGAGTAACAGAACCACAACTACCCTGGATTTAAGCAGATGTGTGGAGAGCAGGCAGTGCTGCATAAATAATGTTTTATTTATGGTGGTAGATGTGTGCATATGGACACACTGTTGGCTGAGGACGAGGGCATTTTGGATATTTTTGGTCGGTGGTGGAGAAACGGAGCCTTTTCCTGCATAAGAGATGAAGATTGTGACAGATGCAAGGTCTTGACACTTCTGGGCAATTTAAAACATTTAATGGAATAAAGGAACAAAAGTAAAGCTTTGCTAAGATTAGATATTGTGACCTAAGGTTTTGGTGCTTTGTTCAGGTAATTACCAAGGCTGTGCCAAAGGGGAACTCAGTCAGATGTGACATTGCTTTCTGAAGAGACTTGGCAGCATTAATATGAATGAAAACAGCCTGCGCACTTGTTATCCATCGCAGAGAAAATAATTTGCCGTGATATAAAGTACATATCTTTTGTAATATCAATGGCTTGAAAGCGCCACAGCCGAAACAAAGGCCCGCTGTGTCCACACAAAGGCAAATAATTTTGAAAATCCACCTCTTCCTCTTTGCTGTGAGCTTTTATCACCCCCAAGCTGACATTCTCATCCTCTCCGTCTCCCCCAGAGCTATTTGAAATTACTCTCCAGTGAGGACAAATATGAAATACCCAGAGCAGTGAGGGAAAAAGGATCATTCATGTGAAAATGCTGATATACCATATGACTGACGGTCCTCAAAGATTCCTCAGATAATTTTGTGCATTTTCCTCTATTCACTAATTTTGTATGCTATCTATCAGGAATACGAATGAATAAAATGCTAGAATTCCAGTTAAGAAATAGTTGTTGGTGCCTAAATTAGAAAATAAGAAAAAAATGGAAGAATTTTATGCAAAGCATCCACTCTGGAGACTAGTCTTGTCATCTGGCACTGTAAACAGCTGCTGCAGTGAGCAAGTGTGACCTTCCAGAAACAAACCCAGAGAAATGCATGAAATGATTGTTGCCACATCATACTTTCAAGGTAAAATTAACAATGAAACATTTAGAAAGATTTCCCTATAACCACTGAGGAAAAATGAAGTTTTGAGTTCAACAAGGGTGTGTATGACATTTAACAAAACACTGTTTATACACATTTGCTTTATGTAAATATTGACACGTACAGCATGTTTTTTTTTTATCTTCAGGATTTAAAAAAAGTACTTGATTGGTTGTCAATGTAAATTCTTATGTGCCAAAGAAGATTCTTCTACCGATCTGAGCCTTTTGTGTTTGTTCACCAGTCAACAACTGAAGCCTTCGTCTGTTTGATGGCGAAAGCCTTTGAGCTAAGGACTTTGATAGGTCAACAAAAGAAGAGAATTGTTATAGAAATCTAGTCAATTTACTCTTTCCCTTTCACCTACGAAGAAAGTATTGAGTTGTCAGTGTGAGTGGAGATTCCACAGCCTGATGTGGGTTAATATTTTTAGAAGAGCTGTCACACTGTGGACTGGTAGTTTGATGTTATGGCCTGAGCTGTCATATATCTGTCATTTACGACCACGTGTCATGTATCAAGCTTCCCTCAGCCAACCTTTTAATGGTGGGACTGGTTTAGTGTCAGCGATACAATAATAGGCCAAAATAATACGGCACAGGAATGTATTAATCAGTCGTTAAATAAGGGTACCTACCTAAAAGCAGGGAGGCCTAACAGCTCTGTGACTTTGGGAAATTAAATTAGTCAGAACTGTCAGTTCTGAAAATATTAGCTTAAGATTTTGGTTTTTTTCCCCTGTTTCAAGGAACAGTTCATTTAATTGATGACAGGCTGTTTCAATACTTTTGAAAACCTGTCATTTTCCCTCTGTTTTAAAAAGCTGTAAAGTCTTGTCTGATATGACCCATTACCTTGAAGAAAAAACTCATAATGTATAACAAAAAGGAACTGTGTAATATAACCACAAACGTAATGTGACAGATGTTGCTCTTGCCTGATGGAGCACCATGCATGTAGAAAAACCGTTTTGTGCGAATCTATGATAATCTATTCGAAAACTTGAGTCATTATTGTGCGCGAATAATGTTCATCAGGTCCACAGTGTGTCAAGAGATACTCCGCTTTAGTGTCAGGATGTAACGCATCATTATGTATTTCATTCGTTTTTTGAGCTCGGGTTTTTTTGTCTGTTTATGCAGCTGACCCAGATAACCAGGACCGGACAGTGTACATGGGAGAGCAAAAACATCTTGGCGGTGTCCTTTGCCCCCTTGGTGCAGCAGAGCAGAGCAGATGGAGAGAAGCCCGACACCGTGCAGCTGCGTAAGTTACCCGGCCTCCACCCAAAGCTGCCGCTCTCCAGCTTCATTCTCTTAACTCCTCTTGAAGTGTGAGGCTGGCAATGCTTCCATGTCAGACGATACTCTGAAAAGGATTTGAGGGGATGACTCCTAAAGCGCTGTTTGTTTTGTCTTTACACGCTGCGCCTGCAGCCGCAGTTGTGTCTCTCCTTGAACGAGTGAGGCGCGCATTTCTGCCACATCCTCACTTGTTTACACTGACCTAGTTGAAGGAGTAGTTCAGTGGTGTGTGTTGTTCTTTTCTTTGCGACACCTTTGGCCTGAAGGACTGTGCCGTCCCTCTCTGTCCTCAGCCCCGGTGACCGTCCGCAGCCTTCAGGACCTCTCCCGGATCTACATCCGCCGCACTCTCAGAAACCTGGCCAGCGAGGACAGTCAGGGGAAGGGGGTGGTGCAGAGAGTCCCCCAAAAGCGCAAGCGCAGGCGTTGCCGGCGACGACGCATCAACACCTACGTTTTCGTAGGCAACCAACTCATCCCCCAAATGGTGGAGAGTGAGGAGGAGGAACACGCCGAGGAAGAGCACAAGGAAGTGGAGGAGGAGGAGGAAAGGGACATTGGCGACATCGAAATCCTCAAGCAAGTGAACGTATTGAGAGAACAAATCATGGCTCTGCCGCTGCCTGAGTCATTGAAAGCATATTTGCTGTATTACAGAGAGAAATGACTGAGTCACTGGATGTCCGCTCTTAATGGGCACAGCACCTGCTGAGATGATTTTTCTTCACCCTTTTTCAGTGCAAATGTAGCATTATTATCACTTAATCTTGATGGCAACACTGTATTGAAAAGAGATGTCATAGATAATATTGGATAATAATGTTATGATTGTCATAGGTGTTAGTTTTTATTGCTGATTTGTATTTGTAGATATGTATATATTTCTATATACATACATACATACATATATGCATATATATATATGTATGTATGTATAAAAGAAAAAAAGTCTACTAAATGGTCAGTTTCAGAAACCAATTTTGAGATTCAGATTTTATCGCAATGTCAGGATTTCTGCAGAAATGTGCAGATAACAAATTGTATAAAACTATATTTGTTAAGATTTGATCATGCTAGAATGAAGACTTTTACTGCACCTTTTTTTAGAAGCTTTAACCTTCTGTCAGTGTCTGGTTTAATCACGCTGAAAGCAGCAAAAGACACTGAAAAGGCAAACAAGGACACGTTCTCCCATTTTGAGTTAAAGAGTAAGAGGTTCTTGCAAAATCTGAAATGGAGCACTTACCTTATGTTATTACTAGGTTAATGTATTTTATACCTTCCTGTACCAAAATATAACTGAAAAGACTAGATTGGTTCACATGTTTTTCTACAGGGCACCTTTTAGTGTGACATTTTCTATGGGCTGCTTACATCATTGTGGTTTCTTGCCATTAGTAGAAATGTTTTTGATAGATGTAAGCCCTCTTCTCTTTGTGTTTGTTAACCATTATGGATGCATACAGATGATAACATCAGAGGGTTAATGTAGTGACAAGATGGAGGACAAATGCTTCAAGGTGTTCATATTTTCAGATTTTTGAAAACGAATTGACGATGGAGAGATGTTGGTCAATGCATGATTATATTGTACATGTTTTGGGTTTCCTGATTTTGCTTTGTATCTTCCGTATTGGTCCCTGGAGGAGCTGTCCTGAGTGATCAAGTTTGGAAGTGTTTCTATAAATAAAAAAAAGAAAAATGGAAAAAAAAAGATTTAAAGATGATTAATCAGTTAGATGGCCTTGAGACAAATGTTGAGTTCTGTATAGTACTGTTGTTTCTGGGTTTTTCTTCTTCTTTTTATCCAGAACAATGCAAAACCATATTCAGATTTGAGGATTTGGACGCCTTTTGTATCCTGGACTATGGTTGTGTCCAACAAAGCACCTTAATCTACAGTCCTCAAGTTGAAAAAAAAAAAAAGAACATCAAGGTGCCATTTTTCTGGCTTATATTGTGGATTGGACCCGTGTTGATGTAAGCCCAGCATAAGTAGAACATGTTTGCAGAATTGCCCTGAGAGTGACGGCTTTTAAGTGCCAACATGCCCCATCACATCAGGAATTCTGTAATCTTCCTGGCACAAGGCAGGGGAGGGGGGGGGGGGGGTGATTTAAAAAAAAAAAAGAAAACATTCCACAGTGAAAAAGAAAAATGGCAGAGCACTGATATTCACAGGTTTTCTTCATGGTTTACAGTCCCACGGTAGGAGAATTTCCTTTAACTTGCTTTGAATGCATAATTCAGCATTCAGGACGCTGGGTGGAATGTGGTTGATATCTTGATTCTATCCAATGTATAGTGATATATAGAGTGTGTACTGTTATATGATTTTGCATACAGTTTAATTAGCGGTTTATTTGTTGTAGAGCCCTCTTGCTGTACTGTATCTTGACACTGGGAACTCTGTAGATCAAAACACCACTGCTGTCTGTTACATAGATGAAATGTATTAGTACTAGATCCTCATTTTGTTCCGATGTCATGGAAAAGTCTGTGTGACAACAAGGCTGAGTATTCTATTTGTTGATTTTGTGAGCGAGGGGGTAAAACTCTATTTTCTGTATCTTTCTTTGTTTTGTTTTTTTCACAGTATTTGCAGAGCTTTGAAAGTAAGCAATAATGGAATAATTTCTCAGATACAAACGACTAATGAAAACATAACAGTCCCATTTGATTTGCATAGTATAAGTTCAAATCCACATGACCAATTACAGCCATACAGCAGTTTATACACCTAAAATATAGTTACGAATTAGAGAGCGCATTGAGTACTGAAAGCAGCGGACCGACAGGCTCAACTCTCAGGTCGCGCCTTCACCAAAGTTATTGCAACTGTTGTGATTTTTTTTGTTTAATGTGGATGGGATTGGGATAGATAAATGGCACCTAATATAAACCAAGCTGTAATCTACTCTGTGCTCTTACTTGGCATTTTTTCTTTTTGTTTAGAGCCAAACAGTCCTTTTGCTGTTCGTCAGGCCTAGGTTAAATTCCGTAGTGTGTGCAGTTCATTTTGAAAATGTATTGTTTCACCATTAATGTGTGGCACAAAAATAAAGGTCACAATCACAGCTTGTGTGTTCAAATCACTAACTTTTCTTCCCCGACAGAATGGATGTTTTTCCTCTTACTGGAAATCTGGCTTTCCTCCAAGTTTAAGTAAAACCATTAGACTGAGTATCATGAAAGTTGATCGAGAGCTGGAGCATGAGCAGAGGAAGAACTCACTAGAATTTATGATTTTTCTGTGGATCCAGCTCACTTTCTTTCAAACTTCAAGTGGAACAACTGCCCTTGGTAAAGCGCAAGCCTGCTGAGAATACTTTAGTGAACGCTCTGCAGGAAAGGTTTTGCCCAAATAAGAGGACACTGATCTTCACAACCTCAAACCCAATACTGAGTGAGAGTGAAGAGAGCCAAGGAAAGTTAATGTATTTTAAAAGATTCCTAGAGTTTTTTTTTTTTGTAAGATTTAGTAAGATTTTTTAAATCATTTGCTGAAATGTGAAAAGTGGCTGTTTCAGACTTAGTACTTTCTGAATTTAAATTATACTATATGTACCACTTAATGGAAAATAACGGGTAAGTGTAGAAACACTCTCTTCTCCTTGTAAACAGCATTTTTCCTTCAATTCTGTCGAGTGTTTTATGTATCGAGTGGAGGGATAGATGACCCTGTCAGCATCTGCATGTGCATGTTTTCGATTTGGGAGAATTTCTTCAGATGTAAAAAAATCTGTCATAATGGAGGCTTATTTTTATTTCTTATAGCTAACGCTCACACCATTAAAGCACTGTGTCAACAGAAAATTTGAGACATTGAGATTAATAAAGACATCCACAATTGGGCCATGATATAAAATGTCTCATTTATTGATTTATTATACAGCAGATTCCTTGATAAAACATCTGCAAAAATAATATCAGCCTCACTCTCTACCTCCAGTGTTATATGGTTTAATGCAACCAAGATAATATTAAAGCACAAAAGCATCACACAGGCTTTCTTTGCATAGACTGCACTGCCATCAGTTTCCATCACACACATATCACCTTAACAAGGCTGCACAGTACGGAACACTTTACTGATCCTATTTAATTTGCTATCCTCTCGAGTTTACTTACCCAGAGGCCTCTTCTGTTTGAATTCCTCTCATAAATGGGAGGTAAGAGTGTGACTAATTACACTAATTGACCTGTACTCTCTGTGAATATGATCATCTAGATGTCACTCTGTTGCATTTATCAACCCTTTAAAGCAGAGTAAAGTTTACAGGGGTTTCTCAAACCTCAGGAGGCCAGGATGCTACATATTTCTGACATCCTCCTAATTGCTCATGTGTCAGTTATGCCATATTTACAAGGTAAAGGCTAATATGGATAAAATATCTGTAAAATACAACACATTCTTTTAAAATGATATGTAGGGCAAAGGAAAAAGAGAGCACAAGGTTTTGATCTATCTACCAGGTCATCTCTGGTTCAAATCAAGTTAACAAATGCCATAATCCGAAATAATCCCTAAATTTATCAGAATAATTCATAATCCTTTGAGTTTATTTTAACATCGGTGTTTATTTACATGTTTACGTTTGGGGTAAATGCTATAAATATCATGGGAAATATTTCTACTCTTATTTAGTGATATTTTTTGTCAGATTGTAGTTGTGTTCATGGTGAATTTATTACCAGAATCTACACTCTTCATTCATGCAAAAGGGAAAATAACACTTTCATACAATCTCAAATAATCTCTTAGTCCACTAATCAAAGAAATATTTGTATTCATACCTTACAAAGGTGCATGATATAACGTAAAAAGGAAACAATCCAAGACATCCATTTTGTTCATCAATGCTGTCATCAAATTATATTGAAATAAATTGATTTTTGTTTGTTTGTTATGACACCAAAAATATGTCACCATTTAGCTTCTAGCTGAGCAGAGGAAAATACATTTTTACTTCAAATTGAACAACGAATTAAAATTTTCACTTCAAAAACACTTTAAAAAATGAAACATATTTAGTTTCAAGACAACACATCCAATAATATCCGTAGTCCAGACTTTTCTTCACACTACTTTAGGTGAGTTTAAGTGAGTCTGAAGTGGTTAAAAGGTTCACGTCTGTCCTTTAACTCCGTATCTTCAGTAGAACTACATAGAAAAGCAGACCACTTTGGGGGGAAAAACTGCATTTTCCAGTTTGATGTGTTGATCATTTGGGTGCCTGAGGCTCAAGAGACAAAATCTTTTCACAACTTTTTTGAATATTGCACATTTAGTGTCCATCAAGGTCTGCATGTGAAGTTATTGAAAGTAGAGGTTCAAAGTCAGGTCAAGTTAAGACAAAGTTCTTCCAGACGTCTGCAGATCTATAAAGTGTTGCGCTCGTATAAAGGTCCATTTCATCAGTACACACAGCAGTGTGCCACACAGTCACAGTCTGCTCTTCCTTTTGTTCTGCTGTCAACCATTTTAGGCCACGTTCATGATTAAGTGAGGGGAGCTTTTTTAAAAGGAGTCCAAAGAAAGCAGCACCTGTCAAGTGGCATATTTCAGTTTGGGAGTCTGTGAATTGCAGGAGAGATTGGAAAGAGTCGCAATCCCAGCAGTTGTCGCAGTGCCTTGGCTCTCCACAAAAACTGGGTCCAGACAAGCAACTTTGGCAGCGAAAAAAGCGTGAATACAGTGAAGCACTGCGAAGAGGTTTGAGAACTCCAGCTCCTGGCAAAAAAAACATTTACTCTAGTCAGACACAGGCACTTTCTTTTCTTAAGCCTTGTTGATGTGATTTCGACATGCAACTTTAAACAGCCCTCAAATAGAATTTACCTTCGCTTCAATAGATTTGGAGTCTTGATTTTGAAATAAAAACTTAATCTTGCTTTTTCCATCATCGGATGACCCTTTTAGTTGGGAGAACTTGTATCTCCACAGTACCGCCTGAAATGACAAATAACACATGGATGTAAATATTTAAAAATCAAATGAATATTTCTCTTGATTTTTTTCTAACCACTCGTAAATGATTTGTTGTTAAAATTTGATAAATAGTCCTCACAAATCTGTTCACAAATTGGGCAGATGCGGTGCGCTGTGAAATATAAATATGCTCTTTCTAGTATTCAAACGCTGCTGTATAATCTCTCCTGAAACCCGAGAGCTTCAGCGGCTCAATGAGTGCTGTAATGAGTAAACAAAAGCAGCACAGCCAGTTGCTTTGCGGATTCCTCAGGTGGACAGCAAGCCACATTTTCGACTTGAAGAGGATTCGGCTTTATGTGAGCTGCTGCAGAGTGCAGGCTCCTTGTGCTAACATTTTACAGACTCTAATGGTACATTATCAGAGTGCAATGAGAGTGTCACCTCCTCTACTTCGCCTTGAAATGCACTCTTGCTAACCCTGTAAGAGCTAGTGATATAATCTCCTACATGTCAATCACGAACACTTCCTCAAGGAGATACCTGCAGTGGTCAAGTTACTGCTGCAGCATGGTTTGTGAGTCACTCTAAACACAGTTTTTCTCTCTTTTTACTTTATGTAGCTATTTCCGTTTTATGTTACTATCTTACTACTACTATAAAATAAAATGCTTTTCCAGTTGAAAACGCTCTTCTCTGCATTTTACTACTTTAATCCACAGCATTTATTTAATAAGTACAATTTATTTACAGTGTAAGTCAGGAGGGTCCATGAATACAATGTTAGAGATCTCAACAAGTCGGGTGTCCGAAAATATGGCATGCATTCATTAAACATGCTAACAAATGACCTGGCAGAACATTTCAGCTGAATAAGCTCTCTTTTAACCACCCAGAATTGTAAAAATGTTTGATACTAAGGGAGCACGCTAATCAATCATTTCTGGGTGGCAGTGTTTTGAGTGCTTTTTAAGTCTGGCACATTAAGTGAAGAACACTGCTGAACTACTATGACTAAAATGACAGTATTTGCAAAGCTTCATTTCGGCAGCATCAGATTCAAAAGATGTAGGATCAGCGCTACATTTGAAAACAATTCATTCATCGCTGACAATATTGGCGAGTTGCAATTCTCTTTTCCGAATAGACTGAAATCAGTGAGTTCACTGTCAACTGCAGAGACGCATGCGCAGCAGACATCCTGTACCACCGTGTCACGTCACGCACCGCAGCAGATTCTGCCGTGTCCGAAGTGCGCATGTGAACAGAAACCTCCATCACTGCAAATATGACCTCATACTGTAATTCTGAAATGGCAGTTCATGGAAAATCTATTCAGAAACTGTCGACAAAAGTAAAATCCATTCTGAAACAGCTAAATAGGCCCCAAAATGGTAAAGCAATAGCCACCATAATATAGTAATTATGGCAAAAACTTCAACATGCAGTTCTGAATAAAAGTAGTCAGCTTGCCCTACTTTATTTCAATACTGCTAGCAAATCTGAAGATTACTGTCTCACAATGAGGATCTGCTCTTCAATTTTCGGCATTAAACAAGATTTTTTCTAATTTGCGAGAATAAAGGATGACGTTTAAAGCACACCACTGCAATAATGCAGTTTATAACATGACACTATACAGTAATGATGATCATCATTCATGTCATCTTACTGAAAGAACCATCTGAGTTTCAGTAGTGGCTAAAACCATGGCCGTATATATAAAACATATCTACTTACAATTAGACCTTTATCTATTCTGTTGAAAATAATCATTGCCTCACACATGTATTGATTTATCTGCCCATTCATTCTATGTGAGGACACAGATTAGATGACTTGATTCACATGTAAATAAAGTGTTACAAAACCCACAAATATTAAAAGAAAAAAACTCCACATATAAATGCTGCCTTTGTTGTTGATATTGTGTGACTCTTGTTGGATATGCCCCAGTGAATGTTTTCCACAGGAAAACAGTGTCAGAGGCATGGGGGAACATCTCTCTGGGTTCTCAGCCGACAGTTTACAGCTCCACTTGTCGCACAGAGTTAAATTTGTAATGTTTCCAGCTAAAATTGATGTATTTTCCTTTTTTTACTTTTCCAAAAGCAGCTTTTAATTATGGAGTAATCCCACCACTCATATTGTCTGCAATTGCAGTATGCACATGGATTGTGTTGTGTGCATTTCTTGCTATGAACAATGCTCTGGCAACACTATAATCATCCTTAGGGGACATTGTTGCTTCATACAACTGGAATTAGGGCCAAAATCTAAACAAACAATATGGCAGCAATTGTGTCCTGCTCATCAACATAATGTGCACCGGCAGAGTATGCATGGCTGTCAGACTGGGGGAAAGGCCAAAATTAACTGCAGGCAAGAGTGAGAGCTGTGAGCTGGGGGCGGGGAGGGACCAGCCATTAAAATAAATGGGCACAGAATGCATAGAGCACAAAAGTTAGAAGCAGCCAAAAAGACAAAAGGAATGCTGAGGAGTCACAATTAGTTTTATCACACTTTGAACACCAATATCTAAGGGGTGCTATTCACCATAATTGCATTAATAGCAAAGGTCTGTCCAGCACTCACCTTTGAAGCAGCATCAAAGCACACAAAGCCCATGTTGAAGTCAATTGTAAGTCCCATTAGGTGGCTCTCCATAATACAGGCATATGTTTTACACTGCAGAAGAGCAAAGCACGCTGTTACTCACAAGAGCATCATAAGTACACACAGTCCTCACAAATTTCACATGAACGTCTTTTTTGAAAAACAACTGAGCCAGAGTGGCTGGAACTTTCTAAGTGAACATCATAACACTTGTTAGCCAGACATTCCGATGCAGACCTGAATCCTCTCCACCTCCAGGAATGTTGCCATTTGAAAGGCCTTTTCCCAGGTCAGCAGCTCACACTCCAGCTCCACACTGAAGAACATGTCCTCGCCGCTCTCAGTCTGGACACTGAAGCAGTGCCTCCTCTTATCCAGAAGGTCATTGTCCTGAAATAACACGAACAGCTACCACGCTGACATGGGCCCCGGCAGTTCAGCTCCCTGACACACATTACTGCTTATTAACAGACAACGCTTCACTCTAATGCGTCGTCCCGTAGCTTTATGAGGTCCGAAATGGGACAGCGTAATGGCTAAGTAAGGCCACGCTGCTAATTCTACTAATGTACTGTATATGTGGTTCTATTAATTAAGTTTGCTGTGATTAGATTCTAGATAATGAACTGCAGATCCCAATATCAGATTCAAAGTGACTCCAAAGCGTCTGAAAATGGAACAAATAGAAACATTCTCTGTGTGACTGCAGAAGAATGCATGCAAATGTACTGTGTAAGTGAGTCATATCAGTGCATTCCTCCGATTCTCATCGCTACTTTATATTCTTTTGGTGTATCCAGATGAGAGATCCATCACTAAACGCTCAGGGACTTCAATAAAACGAGAAAACCATACCTTCAAAATCTTGCACATAATCTCGTACACGGTAAAGCTTTTCTCTGCTCTGGTCCAGTCCCATGTTGTCACCTGAAAACGTCACATAAATCCTATGTTTGATTTGAGTGATGTCTCTTAGGAAGAGTGGGAAGATGCAAAAACATCCTCTAAATGAAAAACTTTTGTGTTTTTGCGCCGGCAGGGCATTTGGAAATCCGAAGATTTCTAACAATAACCGCTCGGTTGTGGGGCTTGTTTCGTAACTCAGTTATTAATGAAAAGCTGTTAAACTCAACTATCATCCTGCCACGAGGGGAAATATTCATCACAGGTAACTACTTTGGAATAATAAGAAAGCTGATCTTGATTTCTGAACATGCAGGCTTTTATGTTCCACTATCCACTCACATTAGCATTTTCCATTTATATCAGCACATTGACATGGAGCAGGCAATTTCAGTTATCTATCAATCTCTTCCCATCTCCAGTGCCATCGACAGCTTATCCCTCTCATCATAATCACCTAAATGGCAAGCAGAACGTAAACACCTTAAATGATCACCATCAATCAAGTGGAAGATCAATCCTGCACAAATGATTCGAATTGAGTTGCCTTCGTTTTTCTAGCAGGAAAGCATGGTCTCTGCAGAACAAATAAGCCTTAACTACAATGGCATCAATTAAAAAAAGCAGGTTTATGTATGTAAATGGAGTCAAAGCTGGAGTAAATGCTCACGGGAGGTGCAGTGAACTTGAAGAGTGAAGAACCCCTCAAAGCGAGGAACTTTGGTGAGTACATTCGGTCCTGAACGGAGTCCTGCTCCTTCTCATCAACCCAGCCCATGTAGATAATCTGCGAAAGGGTGAAAAGAGAAGGTAGAGCAAGTCAATGTGAGAACTATCCTCTGAGTCAGCTGCAAGTTTTTGTTTGTGCCTTTTTTTTTAAAAAGTGAACATTTCAGTAAACACGTGATACACAAAATAATAGAAAATCAATCCAGTCCCTGATTGTATTGAATTTTCAACTCAAATCTGTCAAAGTGGTAAGAGGACATACAGTACTTGAAATCATTCTGCAATGCTTTCGGCTTGGCATTACTAGTCATTTATCTCATTATCTAAACATAATCAAGCTTGCTTTTTCTAGCTAGTTATTTCTCTATTCACAAAAAAACTAAAGGATTTCTGCCTGCAGCAATCTGACATATGAAGCGCCATTTCATAAAAAATTAGATAGCCTCCTGATAACAGTAGGAACTTATTTAAGATGAAAATGTCAGATGGCCGAAAGGAATGCCCTTGTGTCTGGAGCTGTTACATCTGCCATTGCAGAAGTATTTGGGTAGCTGTTGGCTGAGGCAGAAACGGGAGTGTTGGTTAACCTTTCATGTTAGCCTACTATGTGAATCTCCAATAACCCTCAAAATGCTGGTAATCGAGCTCAAGCATAAGAGGAAAAAAAACGTATGTCTTGACCCAAAGATAAGGCCCATAATGATCATTAAAAGATAGAGATAAAGACAGTCACAGTAATCTGTCACCCAGAGTGGCAGCAGCTGTATCAAGTGCGTGTTTCACACACTGAGCAGCCACAAAAAGTGAAATAAGAGCAAATGTTCTTGTTGCCTTGTCCTGTCAGGGGTCGCCACAGCGCATCAGGCCCTTCCTGATGCAACCCCTCACATTTATCTCCACTCGGGATCGACACAAACAGGACACAGAACACTGCACCCCCTCTGAGGCTGAATTGCAAACATTGCATTTCAAAGTCTTCCCCAAAGACACTTCGACATGGAGCCTTGGATTGAACCAGCGATCCACTCCTTGGCAGGAAACTGCTCCGACCCCCTGAGCTGAAGCGAGACGGACCAAAATAAGTTTCCAAATAAGAGCCACAGTCTTGTAAAAGTTCAAGGGTGGCAATATTGTTTTCACACCACAGTTATTGAAGTTTTGAACTTATTTACCCTCTGAAGTGAAACAATATTGACAACTTTCAATTGAAAGTTTTCCTATTCAGTCTTCAGTTATATCACGGTCCCTTCCCCTCATCCTCCCAAACAGCCCCGACAGCAGCCCGATAAGCTAAAATCAGCTTAAAAGACTGATGTCAAGTTAACCGGACCATCATTCTCTATTTCGCCATAAATCATTCCGTATAATGAGTTAGTTCATCTTGTCTGAAGGAAACGAAAGACCAATTTGTTGAGATAAGAAAATAAATTAACCCAATATAAGAAAACAAATGTTATCTTGGGATAAAAAAAAACAATTAACTTGTGATCTATAGATAATGACATTAAAGAATTATCTCAAGCACTGCAACTCTGCTTTCTCTACATTCTCTGTCACTGAAAATATTATTTTTATACTCTAATTTAAAAAAACCTATCTATATAAAATGAATGATTACAAAATGTTCATACTAGTTTAATAAAATCAAGCCGAATCTCTTCATTGATAAAACCAAAACAGTACAATGAGAAAGAAAATTGATAACAAGGTGTTCGGAGTATGATTTAAAAACAAAGTAAAAAATCAAGCTACTCTACTTGGCAACCATGATAGATTTTATCCATGACAATAGTTAATTAGTCGTTTTTCTTTTCCAGTTTTTATCAACAAATAAAAATACAAGATTGAAGGTGCTCATCAGTAGATCTGATTTAAATTAGATTTTTTGGAAGACTCAAATTCATCTTTGTTATGAGTCATGTCATAAAACATGATTGACTTTCCTGTAACGTCAAAAAAAATCATGCAAAGATTTACAAATGTCTTATATGTAAAATATTATAAAAAAGAATAAAATGTTGAACATAAGGTATTATAGTGCTTCATGAAAAATAATAGCTCCTTGACATGTATTTTGAAAAAAAGGGGGGACAGGGGCACCAGATGCTGAAAAATAATGTGCTTCTGAAAAAAAATGCCAGAGGAACATTGGTGCAGCTAAGTTGGTTACTTGGCAACATGATGAGTATAAAAAAGAGACACATTCTCCTTGCAGTAGAGGTAGCAGGATATAATAGAGATGATACAACATGCAAATCATGAGGCTAGCTCAGAATGATGTTCCTTGGTGAAAAGTTGTCAAACCTTAAATATTCCATCACTTACAATTTACGTTAACATTAAAAAATATTTAAAGAATCAAGGCATTTTAATACGGGTTCTTTCGTTCTCTCGTTCCCTCAGGCAACACTGTATTAAAAAAGCAGACATGACTCTATTGAAATCACTGTGCCATCAAAATTCAGGTTTAAGCTTTGCTATGCAAAAAAGCCATAAGTGATCGTGATCCAAAAATGTCAAAGTTAGATCAATCAGTCTCAGCCAAGTCAAAGTCAAAATGGAAAACTATGTTCAGATGCATTGAAATTTTACATTCTTTTTGGAATCTATAGACAACTCCTCCTCCAGACTAAAGAAGAGATTGACTATATGGTTTGTTGTTGTGCACTAGTTCAAAAGCAAGCATCTCTGATGAAAGAAACTGGCAACTTGCTCACCTGGTGAGGCGCAATCAATACTGTGAGGTTTATTGGGGCTTTGGAACAACATGGGTTCCATTGAAATGCGGCCCTATCAGAAGTCCAGCAGCTAAGTCTCAGCCCTTTATGGACTGTTATCAATAAAAAAGAAAGAGAAAAGAAAGCATTTGAAAAAAAGAAAAAAGGCTATACATGTTCCCATTACAAATCGTTGTTACCAAAATTCATTGTTACCAAAATGCTAATAAAGCAATTAAGCTTTTTTTCAGGGCTTTCAACCAGATTAAACACACACACAAAAATCATCATCATAACCTATAGTAGGTTAACAGATTAAAGATTAGAAACTTCTTCAACAAAACATTTAAAACCCACTAAAGATACTTCAAGGGAAGTCCTATATCTTAAAAACTAGGCTCTATCTGCTTAGGTCTATAGGGAGAAAAATTATTTGAATGTGTCCATTATTGAATGAGAATGCTACAGATAGTAAGTGGAGGATGGCTTTAATGTAATCTGGGAAACTTGCTGCATCCAAATCGATGTGTTTGCTGCTATCCTGCCACGCATTCATGCGTACAGATATCAGATCAACACAATCGCTTTAGCGAATAAAATAACCTCCGTTCAACCTGTAGCAGATCTGTCAACTCTTGAAAAAGATTTCCTTTTATTTTTTATTTCGTTCAAGAAACAGAAAAGCTGCAGTTGCAGGATTGTTTTTTCCTCCCACTTTACGTGCAGCAGTCTTCCAGGTCAAAATGTTCTCTGCAGGAACACACACAACAACTTGGTATTACAGTATTGTGTCCGGAACTCCCCGAGGAGTGGCTTGTGAAAGCCTCTTATACTGTGGTGTGCCATTTTGTTGCCACATTTTGAAACACTACCTTACAGAGGTGACGGCCACGTGTCCCCAGATGGCCCTGTGAACTCTCACTCAGGTTTAAACTTTTCTCTTTCCGCAGCAACTCACCTCCCACAAGAATTCCGTGGCATGTAAAAAACATATCTGTTTTTTTTAAGAAGCCTTTTCTGTAAAGCTGTCAAAGTCTAAAACAGCCTGAATCAGTCAGCAAAACAACAAGAGCTCCCAAATTAAGAACGAAAATGGGATTTCTCTTCTCTTCTCTTACGTTATATTTGCTTCACAGGTGACAGCAACCGAGTTCATGCTATTTATTTAAGAAATTCTGAGTATATATTGCAATATCATTTCCCCTCTAAAGGATAGATAATGACAAGATTGACACCCTAACTTAGCTAAGTGAAGCAAAGCTAATTTCACTGCACATTTAATCTGGCACAAATATACATTGTAAATGACACTTAAAGCATTTTGACCACTCCCATGAAGCATCAATGAAAACACTATATCTGAAATACTTTAAATAAAGTCATGAATCCTATTTTCTTTCAAGATTCTGATCTTGCATTTTTTAACAGATTTGAACCACGCAATTCAAAAGTTTCAAACAGATGTCATGTTGAAAATAAAATCTCCAAACATGTGAGTAAACAATGCATGTTTTATGTCACAGTGAGAAATTATTGAATGTCTTTGCAGTTGTGAAACAGCCCCTCCCCTCCCTACAACGACAGCAGTTCGTACACATGTACGCTTATTGACCCAGCAATGCTTTTAAATGTGCAAAGAAATACATTCTGCCTGTAATCAATTAATTAAATAATGAGGGAGGGAACTGTTGTTGTTCCATCCAAACCTCAGAGCAAAAAAAAGGAGGTTAGACAAACGGGGAGATGCAAATATGGAGAGACATAATTTCAGAGATCACACCATCATCACTGCTCATTAAAGTCAGGGTCTGACTGCAGCCTGAGTTAGCTTTTTTTTCTGAGGTTTCTCCCAGATATGCAGAACAAGAGAGTGAAAGATTTGGGACAGCTGTGTCTTTCGCTGCTCGGTTTCCAAAATGAATTGTCATGTGAATTTGCATGTTTTTGTAAGACAGAAACCAGAGTTGATGAATAAGAAAGGAGAACCTTACTTTTCAGTTCAGACTGAAAGATGACATGACAAGTTAACTGACTGAAAGCACTTAAGTTGTTTTCTGATCATCTCCCTGTGGATGGACTTTAATGATGCAAGCATTTTCAGAATGTTGCAATAGCCTGCAAAGCAGGCCTACGTCTTTTCCCTGACTGACAGCGGCTGCTTTGAATTAATTCTCATTTTTATGGATAAGATCAAACACGCACATTAAGGTGTGCCCCAATAAATCTGTGATGTAAAAAGGAGACAAGAGTTGAGATTAAATGTGAGTAAAAACGTCTTACCTGCTGGTTCACTGGAAAGTTCCGGTTAATCTTCTTTACCTGTAAAAAAGTGAAAAGAGCATCAACAAAATCATTCAAATATCTCCCGCTAATTGACAGGGCGGACACATTTGTAGCACCTCACAGGGCCTCAGAGTTTCTGTGATAAGCCTGAAAAGGACAAACAAACATAATTTACAGCATCCACGCTAACACATCAACAACAACACTGAGGGAAGACCGTTAGAGTTGCTTCATTTATTCAAAGAATGCAAATTTCAAAATGTGATTGATGGAGCCATTTCCACCAGGACTTGTGACTCTTCCTAAAAAAAAAAAGCAAGCCTATTTAAAATATCCATTCTCTTTGTGGTAATAACAGTGGAGAAACTACTGAGAGAGCAGTCAGGCTGCAAATTAAAACTCTCTGCTCACATTACAGGTATCACTTGCTCCTAATCCACACTATACCACACTAACTTCTTTGAGAAGCTGAGCAGAGAAATTAAAACAACCCGTCCGGATGCCGTCCCACAACAGAGACGACAACAAGCCAAAGTTGCTTATTGTGAAATCTAAGTGAAGTTCGAGAAAGAAGGGAAAACATAATCATTTTATTTCAGCAGAGGAACCGTGAAGGAAACAACCAGACAACTGTCAGGGCGAGAGCAGTGGCAGAGGATTTAGCTGTGACTTGCTCAGAGTAGCCAATGGAACAATGTTCAACATGACTCAGTGTAAGAGTGATTAGTTTAGACTGTTGGTCTAACTCTTCAAAAAGCACTTTCAGAAAATGTTTTGATCCAACTTGAGGCTTGCATTAAACTTTAATGGCAATATAAAGACAAAAGGACATCCACGCTTGGATGTTGACTGAATATTCCTGCCCAGACGAGACAGAAAAGCCTACTTGTACATATATGTTCACCATGTTAGATAGCAAAAAGGCCCCTTTCTCAGTTCTCAGCGAGAAATCCCTTAGAGAGTTGTCCAGCATCCAGAATACCGCTGCTTTACTGTCAAGAAGACAGTGGCTGTTTAAATCACAGGAATTGCTTCCCATGTATCAAATAATGCCCTTTTTAAGTCTTGTTTTTTGTTCATGAAACACTCAATTATCTCCATTTGACAGTTGACCTGTCATTAAATAGTATACTATGACGCGTTCAGAACTCACAAAAAATCTGAACCAGGTTTACTTTCTCAGTCTTTCCAGGATTAAAACACAATAAGGTGAAAATTCCTCTTAAATTCCAGGCATTTCCTAGAACTGTGTGGAAATCAAGGCTTAAAACAACACTGCTTACAAGATCTTTCAACACAACTGAATATTAAAGGTTGTTCAAAACTGATAAAACATCCTTACAACAGTAACAGTTTATCTGCTTGTTTCTATCATTTTTCAATGTAGATCATTTTATCCGTTCACTATTCATTTGTCCTGGCATGTTTTGGTTTTATTCGTATGCTCTTCTATTTTTTAAGCATATGCATTTTTTATGTAAAGCACTTAGAAGAACCCTTGCGAATAAAATGGGCTACACAAATATACTTACCCTGCTAGTGCTAGATCAAGATCTGTATCAAAGTAAAGCACACAAGTATTGCATTAAAATATAATTAATGTGTCATTACTAAAAAATGTATTGTGTCGTAAAAATGTAATAAAAATTCACAGTAGTTTAACTATATATATATATATATGTCCCCTACTTTCATGTATGTGTTACAGTCAGGCATATATGTGAACACTGAGTAATCTGTTCAGGCTTTCTTTCCTCTTAAAAACGAGCTTTTATAGTTGTAAGTGTAAAAATAAACTCAGTTTTTTCTCAGTGAAATTAAACTAAATTAAATATAGATGTGTACTTCTGTTGATTCTTCTTTTTTCACTTTGTGACACTGTTGGCAGAGAATCTGTATAATCTGTATTCATCAGGTTGTTTCACATAATATAACTTTACAGGAAAATAATTAGCTTATTTCAATTAATTCAGGCATATTTGGCTCAATTCTTTTTCAAATAATGCTATTATAGTTACAATAATGTGCCAAAAGTGAATACAATATATTCATGTTTATATTCAAATAGAACCAGTGAACCCTCACAGATGCTTTTATAAAAGCTTTGAAGACCTTGAATTCTATTCAATAATTCCTGGTTTCTTTATGCATTTGAAAGCCTCCTGTCCTGTTCAAAAGACAGGTGTTGTTTAAATCACTCACTTATAAAAATACCTTTAACTCTATTCTTAGATACATGACAAAACACACTGGGTGATAACAAAACCACATCAATGCAGATGAAGCTCAATCACAAGCTGAGGATTTCTAACCGTTGTAGACTTAACAGTGGGGATGCAACATGCTACTTAAGTACAGCTTTGAAGATTGCCACAGAATTGAATCAGCTCGTGGGGAGCCAAAGTTTAAGCAGAAAACTGTTCGGGCCACACTTGACTGGAGAAACCGGAAAACCTCGAGCCAATCACTTTAGAGAAAGCACCTCAAGGTCGAGTAACAAAGCCACAGGAACTGGCGTGGAGCGCAGGGCGCCTCGGCTAGGTGGCAAGACTCATTAGGAAGGAGTCATAATCAAAACTAATCTCTGCATCTGATTTGATTCTTAATCTTGTTTGGAAGGCAGACAGCAGGAAGACTTCAGCCCACAAGATCTACCGCTCTGCATGCAGCTGACTGGTGGGAGTCGTTATGAGCAACGGAGCAAACATTTCCTTTCATAATGTCTTCAGTGATGCCTTCAAATGCATCACTAAACAAATTTAAGAGAGGTTTCATGAACCCTGAGATGGCCTCTGCAGCCATCAGACCAGAACATCACTGAGCCTTTATGGGAATTTGTGGAGCACAGAGACTTGAGTGGATTCCATCCTCCGTCATCACTCAGAGAAATAGAAGCATTTCTTCATGACAAATGGTTCAATATTTGACTGCAAACAGAATGTTCAAATGTACGACTGTGCACCAAGAAAGAGCAACAACTCTCGGCAAGAAAGGATCAGATATATCACTTCTTGTTTGGTCTCATTTGAAAGGTCTCTTTTATATAAATATTTGATCATTTTTAAAAGGTCTACTTATGAGTATTCATTGTCAAATCAAAAGAATTTTCTGACAACCCGACTCAATACATTGTGAAGGATTTCTAAGGTAATTGTGGGAGTCTGGCATAACAGCTCCATCACCGAATGGATGATCAATTAATAATCCAGTTTATTTGTTTCAGAAGGCTGTTGGGCTTTGCCGCAGTGAATTCAAGACTGGATGATTGTTGTTGTTTTTTAACACACAAAAGCACACAAGAGATGACACAAAATCACAAAAAATACACAAGTGACTCATCAGTTCCATTCACCTCATCACAAAAAAAAACACAATGGTGAGTTTTTTTTAGCAGAGATTTGCATAACCCGCATCCATTCGGTTACTACGGCAGCTCATTCACACGCACGTTTTAGAAAATGTCACGGTCAGAGTGAGAAACACATTCTGAATCATTGAGGCTGTCCTCGCTGTGAGTCATCAGCGATATGTTTAGCACGCCCTTCACTTCATCCACTTCAATTAACCAGGACTTGATTATTCCCACAAACACAACACATTCTCAGGACCACATGATGATTAAAACTGCTGCCGGTCTCATGGCAAACACAAAATCATGTTTACGTCATCTCACCTGTACCTAATATTTTCTCCATACAAGTCTGATGCATAGAATAAATAAATAAATAAAACACTCTGTAAAAAAGGGATAAATTACCTTTATCCTTTACATTTCCTTCAATTCTGTTTGAGCCATGCTTGAGTCTAGAGCTAGTCAGCAGTACTTATACTCAAATCTAATATCATCACTTATCTTGAAAATGCAGACACGCAAATCAGTTTTCCGCATCAGCTGTAGTAGAGCGTCAAAAAATGTTTTCACAATTTAAAAAAAAAGAGTACAACATTTTTATTTCACAGCTTCTTGCTGCTCCGTGGTGTCATTATTAAATTATACTGTATGATGAATTATAGATTATAGATAAAACAGCTGTGAAGGGTAGCAGGGATAAGAGTAATTTAATATGATTGCTGTTATTGTGACCACAGGCTTGGAGATGAGCTTGAAGACACATTGGTGTGTGTCCAAAAAAAACTCACTGCCGTGACATTTGCAAAGGGACTTTTGGACAATCAACAAAATTGCAAGTGTGTCAAATTAACAGCTGTTGCAATATCGCCCCGGTTTAGACAGGGGGGCGAGAGCGCTACTCACATTGTGCTTGGTGAGACTGGAAATGTTGTTCGCTATTGCTTGTAGCCAGTCCAAGCAGTCTTCAGCTGTGGGGAACTGTATAACTCCACTGCAAACACCATCCACAGCTATGACCTGGAAAGCATTTTTTCTGAAAGAGTCCAGTACAAACAAAATATCAGAGGATTGTATTAACATAAACTAATATGATTTTCAAATTATCTTCCATCCATTCAGTTATTCATTAGTGTATTTTTTTAATTAATCTGAAATAGACCCTAATTGAAAAAAAGAACCTGGCAGTAATGATTTTCCTTGGGGTGATTATCATTTATAAAACAAACATAGCTTGAATAACTGAGCAGCCTAAAAGAAGCTTTTTGGAAATGTACAAAATAAAATATAATCAAATGTACTGCATTTCCAAAATATGCATTTAAAAAAAATATTTAAGAAATGATCATGTTTTTATTCATTCCACATTCTGGAAGAACTGCACTGATATGCTGATCTTAAAACATCCAATCTCCAGCTAAATCTCTCCTCAAAACATCTAGCTCCATTTCCAGGTCACTCTTCTGCTTCTGCTTTTGTCTTTAATGGGTAGTCGATTCAGGCACGTTCAGAATTATTGGGATGGCAAACTTTTAAGCAGGCTTTTATGTTTTTTATACACTTTGATGAGCAGAGGGACTTTGCTAATAGTCAAGCAACCAGCTCACGCAATTTTTTGGATAATCAAGTACCACTCGTTCCTCTCATATAATCTGCTAATTTCCTCAAAATTGGTAAAACTTCAGATGGAACCTTTTTTTTGTCAGTGTAGATCATCACTGGTGAGGGCAACACACAAAACTCAAATGTCACACCCATATGAACCAAATGTGAGGTTGTAGAAGCATTTTTTACCACGGTCTATCATCTACTCCTCTTATGGAACAAACAATATAGAACAAAAACAGATCACGACCGAAGCCTGGAGGGTGTGTTTGTCTTCATTCTGTTGTAACCTAAAGTGAAAGCCTTGTAAGTAATATGGTTCATAAATCTCCAAAGCTGCAATATCTTTCTGCAATTCTCAGTTAATGAGCTAAAACAAGTCAAACCACAAGTTAGATACATTATAGTCCGTTTACAACAGTTTAGTTTAAATGGAAAACATGTACAGGCAGAATAATGGCTTATAATGCCAGGCACCCATTTCTCAATAGACCAGCCTTATTGCAAATGTACAGAGAAAATAAGCTTATATAGTTTCCTCACAACCATACAATTTTTTAATTCTGTATCACTGTTCCTGTTCATGCTGCCTTTTCAGGAAGCAAAAAGCACAAAGTAGACAGGAAATCACATACAATGAAATTATTTAATGAGTCATTTTTTTACTGATGTCATTTGGTATCATCAACAGAAAAAAAGGTCAGCTTTTAACATTGGACTCTAGTGGAACAATGAGCTCATTATCTAAATTATTAGGCAGCTAATCGAGTGGCTGTTATGAAAATGACAAACAGGTTAAATGCCTCGTGAGGCATTAAGGCGTCTTGTTTCATTCTGAAATGATTATGGTGGTAATACCTTTTATTTTAAATTGCCTCAATGAAATGTTGTCTGCACATCAGACAGTTTAAGTTGCTTCAGAGTGGCTGGTTTATCAGACATCATGCATATTTCAGAAGTTACCAAAGTCTTGATATACATCACTTTTGGCAACAGAAGCCGGCTGTTTTTGCTTCACCAGAATCACAGAAATGTCTCTCGTTGACTGATCTGTTTTGTAAAAACTGTTCTGTAAAAAAGAAAAGTTCTGAATAAAACATTTTGACATTCCTGTGTCAAAATGTTTTTACAATAAAGAGTTCATTTCAACTAAACTAAACAAAATAAGAATTAAAGGGCTGCATTTTCAAAAGGATTACTCACACACACAAAGTATATTACATGGTCTACTTATAGAATGTGCTCCTTTGTTTCAAAATCCTGACATAAATCTCAGCACTATTATCATATAGAATCTATATAAAGGAACGACCCTTAATGACCCTTGGAGCCTGAAAACCCACCTGCAGGTGTCCGAGCCGGGCATGTACTGTGACAGCCGAGACTGAAGAAGAGGAATAAGGCGCAAGTCCACCCATCTCTTCTCCCAGCGAAGCCCCTGAGATGTAGGCCACGATGAGCAGGACAGTGTGTCCTGTAGCAATGTGAAAGATAACTTTTAGAGGAGCTTTGCTTCCCCGCATCACACATTTCAAATGTTTCAGATGTCAGGAGCCTGAGCTCTGCTGCCCCTTAAGCTGCCAGTGTTGCGGATGCTCAGGCAAGCTGAGTGAGCACAAGCTGCAGATTAGAGCTGATTCACCCTTTTCAAATGATAGAGATAGAGCATTGCAGTTTCAGCGAGCACTGACAGTTGCACAGAAACTGCTCCCCAGCACTCACGACAGTTATGGAGTCGGGATGTCAAACAAGAGGCTAATGAGAAAGTACCGTGTTGTTAGGATGGTAGTTCAAGTGCAGGCCACTATCACACAGAGGAGATGAGGTCCCACTGCTCTGGTCACTCGGGATGCCTGGAAGCACAGCGGGGGCAAACGCACCGAAAATATTAAACTCGGAGCGATGCCCCCATCTGTTTCATAAACAAAACGCACGTTACTTTGTTCTGCTCCACTGTTGGCTTCCACTGCGTTCATTTGCATTCAGTTGACTGACTGGACAGCCAGTCACCCTGGCCTACATAGGCATATGAAAGGATTTCCCAAAGCTTTCATGTCTGATGATGAGCTGAAGCTCTCTCATGAGAGAGCAATCAATTTCACCACAATGCGAAAAGTCAATTCTCAGTATGGGGTTGAGCACCTTTTGTGAGGCTTGAGTTGTGTCCCTCTACTTGTTTTCTTAACACAGTAGAATCATAATCATTTTGTCAAAGGTTAACACACAAATATATATATATATATATTCAATATATGTATACGTATGTATGTAAGTGTGTGTGTGTGTGTGCTACATACATTATTTGCTCAAACTGTCTACTTGATCGTTGCCAGGACAACAAGCTCCAGACAGAAAATAACACCAGTTAAAAATATTCTTGGCTAATTATTTTCCATTGCACTAGCTGTTTTGCACTTAGACCTGAGAGTCCATTATAGAGAGGGTATCTTACATGTGCAATCCTCACAGAGGGGCAGTTTCAAAAAGGCGGGAGTCTTCTTTAAGAAAGACACAGTAAGAGTCACTTCTTCCCCGGCATTTCTCAAAACCTGCACCTGGGAGGTAAAAACAAGAAAATAATGTTTTTACGGACTGCAGGTTTAGCGTGAAGTTTTTAGCCAATTTGATGAGACATGATGTGCCACCGGGACTGGTAATGCCAGATAAGGGATTACACTAGACTGCAAGTTGCATGCTCTTTACCCACACAAATTTCTTACAGTTGCATTTAAGAAGGGATGAAAGAGGAAAAAAAAAAGACTTTGCATGTCAAACAGATACAAATCAAGCTAGACTAGATAAGCTGTAGAAAGAATTGTTGCAGTGTATGAAACTGTGTGATATAAGCTGACGGCTTACCACTTCCTCATGGCGATAGCTTCTGACATTTATTCCATTTATCTAGAAACAACAGTAACAAATCTGCCCTGAATAACATTTCTCACTTTATATCAATACAGATTGTTTTCATAATTATCAATGAGGCTAACATTATAAGTGCTGTTACATCTATGCTGAAAAGTGTGAACGTGAAATGCGCTTATTTTTGGTTGCACTATATGTCACATATGAAAGACTAATTGCTTATATAGTTAGCATTTATTTGACATTTACCTGAAGAATGCCGTCTCCAATGAACAGAAGCCCAGAGAGTTCAGCTTGAAATAAACAAATGGACAGAAACACTTCAGAAAACATAATATAGGGGAGCGAAATATTGGCAGATGAAAACCTGCGTAGTACCTTTTTGTTCTTTTGATATTTTTGATATCACAACAGGGATTTTATGCTCCGCTCCGCCCTAAGAGGTAGGATAAAAAAGGTAGAGCTTTGTGAGACCACATCCCTCAGCTGCAGCTGTTGTTGCAGGTTGACAAAAAAATGATCAATAGCACTTGTTCACACTCAATTTAAAGAGTTGGGATGGGCAACCTAATCTGCTGGGATCTAAATTACCTTGATGCTCAGACCAAACCCTCCAATCGTCTGCCGCCTGATTGTTACTGTCCTCTCCTGAAGTGAGAGCGAAGAGATCAGCTTAGACTGATGGTGTTAGGCACACAAGAAGGCTATTTTCACAAGCACAGTGTAGTAATGAGAAGATCACGCAAATGGAAAAAGAAACAAACATTTCATTTTTAACTGTTGTGCATTTTGAAGAACTGCTGCACGGTACTGTGGTGATTGGCACCATCACCTCACAGAAGAGGCTGTTTGTGTCTGTGTGGCCTTGTGATGGACTGGAGACCTGTCCAGGGAGTACCCTGTCTCTAGCCCAGTACCAGCCGGGATAGGCTCCAGCCCCCCATCAACCTACCAGGAATAAACTGTATACTAAATGACTGGATGGATGTATTTCAAAGGGTAAATGTGCAGCATGGAATCATAATGAGATGAGCTTATTCTTTTTCTCTCCTATTGTCCATATAGATTCTGATTAGTGTCATAAAATATTACAACTTCCCCTTGCCATAAGAATACCAATATGAAATTGGCCCAATTGAGCCTTACAAAGCCCAAATATAACAACGAATAAAATCAACATGAGTTGGAACAGAGATGTGCATTATGTATGGCTGGAAAAAAACAATGAATACCGAGGAGGATTTGAGCCTACATGTCAAACTGCTGGCTGGGAGTTTCTGCCTATTTTCTTCACTGAGAGTCTTTCCTGACAATGATGTATCCAATGATATTGTAAGCCATGATGTTTTGCCAGTATATAAACTCATTACAGAGATGCGAACATGACAATCTCTGGAGGCTTAAACCTCACTTCTCTCTCTGCATTCCAAAGCATTTTTCAACTCATTTTTATCTTTTCTCAATAATTTGTGGCATAACAATACAATTTCCCTTCAGGGTTTAAAAGCATCATTAAAAGCACACACTTTAATGAAGCTGGCTTTATGAGCGCTATGAAGATAATCTTATGTGCAAACCAGTTCAGTTTGATCAGACTGACTGTCCTTTTTTAAAAATGTTGCATTATTTCCATAAAATGTCCCCTAATTTAACTCAGGTTCTGAAAATGTTTTCCCTGCACCAGTCATAGATACAAGATAAAATGTAATTTTCCAAAAATTCTGCACAATTGAAAATTCAATTGCCTCAAATCACGGGGCAGAGCCCTATCTGACCAGGTAGCAATCTGTTTGAACAAAAACAAGTCAGGACGCATTCTTCCAGAACAAATTAAATAGAGCTCCCTGTATTGTCTGATTGTAAATTTGATCTCATAGTTAAACTTGTCTCGGTTAGCGAAGCCAAAAAGTCCTCACTCGACACACCACGGTTGTGTTTGCAAGACCATGCCTTTGCCCTTTTCGCTGATTAGCAAAGATGCTTCAGAGGACACAATCCTCAATTTGTCTTTGGAGGTTTTTATCCGGTAAAATGTTATTGAATGAATATGCCATTTTCAGGAAAGGTCATGGACTCTTGCGTTCGCCGAGTCTTTTCTCACACAAACGTATGCATTTATTATTGTGAGGTAAAAGCTGACAGACAAACGAGACCTAAACGTTACAGCAGGACTCAGCTGGTGAATCACTTTTTTATTATTTCATTTCATTATTAAGCAATAGATGAACTGGTGTACATCTGCCATTATTGAATAAATTGAATTCCCTGCTGGACAGTGCTGTACGGTAAAGTGTGGCAAGTGCATTATTATGACTTGAGCTGGGTTACTTACGCTTGAATAAAAAGGTTCTCCTGACACACAGATGACATCTTGTTCTTGAATGGTCAGAATATCTTTGGCCAAGTGTAGTCGAATATTAAACGGCTCCTCATTACCTTCTTGCATCAAATAAATCCCAGTCTTTGTCTGCAAACATTCAGAGACACAAAATCATTCATCATCCCTCCGTGACTAAATTAACTAGCCATGAAATGAAATGTCATTGAGAATAACCATTGCACGATGAACATGGAAATTGGGTTTGGATAACGTTTGTTGTTTGCTTTTCTGTTATTTTAATTGTTAATACTAATATCACCTCAAATAACCATACATGAGCTACGATTAATAAGCACACATTTATCAAAAAACAAAAAAAAATCAATGACTCATGGTTTGGAATAACCATGAGGCTTTTATGAGCCTAGCTGGCATTTTGTACCCTCTGTGTGCATACATCCACACAAAGAGGGTCAGATTATATAATGTCATTAGTTCCAAGTGTTAGGATGCTAAATATATATATAAATATGTATATAATGTGTACACGTATGCATCGTTGCATACATTATTTGTTTATACAACAAACCAAGAAGTTATGAAATTGAATGGATAAAACTCAAGCCACCATCTATTTCAATTCACAAGTCTCAGAACAAGCAAGCGTGAGGACTGTGTGTGTTTCCAATGATCCCTTTAAAACATGTTAATCTGCATAAATTTGCATTCTGCATATCCTTCCTCATCCCCAGCTAATTGTGATGCCACTCCTGTCCTTGACTTAAAAAGGTCTGAATAAAAGAAGCACCTTCACCTGATGAGACTGCTAATAGAAGAAACCTAACAGTGTCAGCATCCTCGTCACCAAGGATACGCCTCTCATCAACTATCAGTCAGCTGTACTGCTGATGAAAAGCTCATATGAGGCTCATATGAAGCTACAGGTCATACTTGAATCAAAGTCAGTTTATGGAGCTTATTATCTCTCAGTTGTGAGGCCTTCAGCCACAGTGTGAGAAATTAAAAGACGGAGGCATTCATTTAAACTATTTGAAGTAAAGTATGTCTGTGCAAGAGTCATTAGCTGAGCAAAATGAGGCCAGCAGCGCCTGCATGTTAGCTGAGTTTGGAAGTGTCTCAGGTGACCGAGCAATCTTTGACCTATAGGAGTTCTCACATTGCACTTAATTAACCTTATCCCTCACCCTATTTTATGGTGCACCTGTGGCCCCTAGCAATATTATCTGCATAATCATCTTAAGTCCGATAGCGTGCACATGACTTTTTCAGTGACTGCATTAGACATGCAACAAGGACACCTTCTAACCAAGTAGCATCACTGCATGGAGAGCAATGTTTGTTCTTATAAAGAAGGTTATATTAAAATCATCAGTAGACAAAACAGCAGGAGCCCTGCTCATAAAAATGCCAGCCAACACTGAGGATCACAAATGAAAAAAGACCGAAGTATCGGTGCCTACCTTACTTATCCTTAAATCATGCCAAAAAAACGAAGGTTCACTCTCAAACTAATCACGTACTAAAAGAGAAAGCCCAATTTTATTGGAAAGGAAGAGGAGACTGAAGTGGAGCGTCAAATATTATTCTGTGGGATAAACAGTCGGCCGACAAACAAAGCACAACATGCACCTTGGGACTCTGCTGCTGCTGCAGTGAATAAGGGATAGCAGAAAGACAAATGTGGCTGATGAGAAAAAAAGAAACGCTATGACCTTAAGCTATAAGGGGAGAAAGGAACAGCTGTTCCCATGTCTGGCAATTAATTCCTTACACTTTAATTGATGACTCCAATTACATTGTTCATAAAGCTCACGGTGTTCACCACAGGAACAAATAAGTGTGCAAAACGGCAAAATTTAAGTTTTTAAAAGTAAGAATAAGAAGGTTTTCAAGTCCAACAACAGTTACAAGTGTTGCTTGAATGATTATTTTCTCCCTCGGATAAACATTTATAGCAGGTCTAATCTAAAAATAACCCCCTAGACTGAAAACAAGCATTAGAAAGTAAACTTGCTCACAACATTTCAGACTGACTTAGTAGCTGAAATGTTGACTGTTGTTGCATGACAGGTTTTCTGAGTGATATTTGAGGCAGCGTTGCCCTGAGAAGCCTAAATAAATCCAGCATTGAAGACTTGCTTGTGTTAGTATGTACGTAGTCCTCTGCATCGAATAAGGGTGAGATTCAGGGTTAACTGATGCTACGCACAGGTAAAATGCTCATTGGCTGAAAGTTAACGAAAGCTGTAGGGAGACAAATGGCTATCGATTTCATCACAAAAACGATTAAGAACGTAGACATCCTACTAGTGAGAAGCTCAGACAGCCGAACTGAACAATCTTCATTATTTTAACACTTGGTTTCACCCCAACACAAGGCAGCTCTTTGTCCATTGTGTTTTCTGCCATTTCCAGTAAAGAGCAGAGTGCAAACCTTAACAGTCAATAACAACAGCAACACAACAAAAAGCAACCAATGACTAAGACTGGTCCGCTTATTTCCGACTGATATAACTGCTCTAAAGTGGTAGTAACACCGTAATATATAGATGTGAGTTTACTGGGCGCTGATTCAGAGAAGCTGCGCAACCAAATCCATAAACGCTAAAAACTTAGTAAATAAAACCACAATCTGAATTTGTCTGAACTGACGACCACCACTCTCTTTCCACAGTTTTGATAAATCTGTGTCATTGGTAGCACTGAAAAACTGCCTCTGTGCCATTGTGTGAGCGATGGTTGCAGTCCCATGACAACTGCATTCTAAATGTTCAGCCTGAATGCACTGTGTGTATCATTCACAGTTTAAAGTTGTTGTCTGTCAGGACAGTGAACACTGAAAGTCAGACACTGTCCTGACAGTCAACAACTGCTTGTTAAAACACTGCTTGTTAAGTCCCCTTGATGCAATCTTTTTCCATTTTCTGAAAGTTTAACACTAAAAAATATACATTATTAGTTCTCTAATAAGGTGTTATGGAGCATCGGTGAAAGTACAGGACATGAAACCCAGTCGATGGATGTGTAACACAAAAAAGAATTTACTTTATTTGATGTTTCCCTGTGTGTTCTTTACATCTCTGCACATAGACTGGCCCATAATAAAAGTAGGACACCTAAAAGCTTCGGTTTGTGTGTACTTTGTCTGAAGAGGTACACTCATTCAGAGCTTGCCAACATATCCATCATGTCCTGTCCTTTGCTTCTGTTAATTCTCTCACAGCACACAGTGGCATATAGCATATTGAAAACTCTGTCGAAATGCAGTTATTAACGTGACTCAGCCGCATTTTTAATGTGTCAGATTAACGTCTGAACCCATAAGTCTTTTAGGTTTTTTAGGAAGAATGTGTATTTTTAAATGTGTGTGTGTGTGTGGAGGGGTGTGTCTACTGTATGTGCAGGACCATGATTTACTGTGCCCCTGGCTTTTAGGCATACTCAGTCACTTAATGCTGTCTTCCAGTCCTGGAAAATGCCCGCGCACTTTCTATAATCGTGTTCAATTAAAACATTGATTGAATTTTACCTACCTCTTCATTTGAAGTCTTGAAATCCATGTGCTACTATGCAGTGAGGGATACTGCAATGCATAAAAACAGGATTAAGTAAGACTTAGGGGACAAATGCTTAATGACATGCCTGAGTCATTTGAGCTGCACCCGCACAGGCCAGTTGAGCATATAGTTAGCAGGATGCCTATAATCATTATGGTACTGCATTGCTCATGCAGAATATATACAACGGAGGGAAATAGATTTCTGGTTGTAATATCCCTTTTCTGAACATAACAGGGCAAAATCCTCAATCTTCAGAAAAGCATAGATCATTAAGCGTTAATGAATAATTCATCAGCAAAGGTGAGAGCCAAGGTATCTTAATAAATGTTTCAATATTGAATTCAGTCTCCCAGAAAAGAACTGCCTTAGCCTGTCTGACGGCTTGTCAGAGAGAAGAGAAAACTGAGCCACAGTGGAATATGTCACAATATAAGTAACACCACAGATGTATTGCCATTAAAAACCTATGGACCATGAATTCTCCACATGTCTAAATCTTCTTACTCGTCCCTACACTTTCGGATATGGAGGTAGTCTTGAGGAATGTTATGCGGAAGCCTCATCTACATGGAACGTCACATTTAATCAGACGTGACACTCCCACTTGACTCAACGGAACTAGCACGGAAAAGACACAGCTCACCCTTGAATTAAAGAGCGCTTGTTGCAACGGGAGACAGAGATTTACCTCAGCAGAAAGGCCCCCAGCTCTTTGTGTGTTGAGGTCTAGCCATGGAGCAGTGAGTTGATCCCCGATCTGAGCCTCAGCAGGGGGTCCCTCTGGATCATGGCTGTCAGAGTTGGGAAGTGGGAGGGCAGCGCTGTCACCTCTCCCGGCCGGCTGTAGGTGTAGCAGTATTATTCCCAGTGGAGCTGAAGCTGAAGAGCAGAGTGATGTTATTGTGCGGGGAGGTTTAACTCCTGGAGGTCCCTGATCTTCGGCTGCTGTGTTGTTACAAGATGTATGAGGCTACGGTGTCATTCTGACACTATATACGCCCGAGAGCTGCAAAAACAAACGACAAAATGTACGTTTAAATAATGTTGATTATATGCTAGCGGCTGTGACTGAAAGGGTGTAATCTATGGTTGCCAGTGATATAGATAAGAGTGTTTACAGGGCAACTGCTGCATGTGTCTGGGATGCTGAATCAGTGGCCATTCAAAGCTTTATTTCCAAAATAAGCACCTGGTACAAAAAGTGGATTCAAACTCAAAACTGCAAATTTCCCCTTCTCATTCTCTGACGAACCTCTCAAATACATCATTGATAAAAATCTGTGGATTTACATACATGAGAGTGAAAATGTAATTAACTCTTATTCTTCTGTTTCGTGGATTTTTGAATGCTAAGCCTAAATGACTTTTTCTAAGTGTTTATTAAGTTCCACCCTTGAGAAACGTTCCTCATTACCATGCATTGTTGGCTTGGTGCCCTTTTTGTTTAGCTACAGTGTTGCAACTATGGTCATTGTTTCACAGGATTGTGAAGATCGTACGATGTACTTCAGGCTGTATTTCATGCATGAACCGTGAACCCTTGACGATACAGTTGGAGCAGACTTATAGAGGCATGTGCCCATCAAGCACTGGGGAGGGGGATGGGAGTGTTGGTGAAAGCGAGTGATGCGGCGTTAGAGCAGTAAAAATTCACCAAGGCCTTGACCCTCAGAAAACACCAGACTATAACTAACACAGAGTAAATACAAGGTCTCTTTTATCTTCACGTATTCCCCAGCCTTTATGTGAGCCAAAAAATCGTACCCACCTCAACTGTACTCAGGCATCTCTTACAGTGTTTTTTTCTCTTTCTTCTTTTCTAATTGTTGTCAGATAAAGTAGACATGAATATACATTTTTCAAAAGAAATTAAAATGCCACAGATTCTTTTGATGTATTTTATATTCATTCCGTCTCCACTTTAACTCTGATATGATATATCTGTGGGCTGGATCTAAAAGCACTCCAAACATAATTTGTGGACCTGCTTTAAAAAATAAATGTGCGCACATGATCAGCTGAAAGATGTGTCGGCAGCTCTCAGAGGAACACTTTGTCTTAGCAGGTGCCCTCCTGTACGTACAGTCAAGCGCCAGCACTTTCCCTTTTTCCTGCAAGAATCCCAAGATTAAAAAGTCTGAACCTTTTATGATATTTGGCTTGAGTCAGCATTAATCTTTTTACTATAGCAGCATCAGACATTTTCAGCTCCACCAATTTGCCAAGTGGTACATTTCAAACAGTGCTCTTGTCTTTGTGACAAAGGTAACAAACAGAGAGAGCGGCCCAGATATCTCACATAGACGACTTGAGGATCACAACATGACATCTCCATCTCTTAGGCCTGAGGACAGCTGTGGCCCGTGCGGGATGATAAATGGCTGCTGCCGCATGCAGGTGGAGCAGATGCTCCAGCAAATGTAGTTTCACTCCCCCAAAATTTAGATGGGTTTTACTCACTTTACAGTATGTCTGTGTGCTTTGTGACCCAGAACGTATGGGGTCTGAAACTTTTTCATTTGGAGAGTGATGATAGCAGACATCACGTTAGTCAAATATTATGGCCTCCAAGAGCAGCCCTGCTCAAAAGCACAAAGATGATTTCACATCATCCACCAGTTTACATCACAAGCTGCCAGTTTTTCTGAGGCTCTAAATATTTACCTTTCCATATGTGGACTTCATCTATTAGATAAACCATTCCTGCATGTCAGATCTAGATTTAGAGTCCAGCCCTCACTCTTTTCCAACCAGTAGTCATTCTATTCCTCTTAAATCAATCTAAAGCATCAGATTGGGGACAAATCTAGACATTTTTTCATGGAAAGGCCTCATATCAACTCCACATCTCTATTTTATGACAACAATGATAGGAGTGTTAAGTATAACATCTTTTACACACGACTGATAAAGAAGTCAATACAAAAAGGCTTTAAAACTTCTATAAATCATGGATATTGTACACAACCCAATTTAACCAGATTACAGTTTGTCTGAAGTGGACGGGTCTGGCGTAATTTGGTGTTATATGAATACAAGCTGATAGAAATATATGTTTCAATATTAATGGTTAAAAAAAATATTGCAAATTCAACTCTTTGTTATTGTTAAATTCTTACAGTAAAAGCCATTTTAAATAGGGTGAGGGTTATGACAAAAAGAAGGTTTGATAAATTCACTGCTCTCATGGTTTGCTGCTGTGTGCTGTCAGAGAACACCAGTGTCTGATGTGATGTTATTTACTGTCAGCCGATATCAAACCTTAAATGACAAGGATCAGCAACACAGACGTTGTTGTTTTTTTAAAACAACTATTTTTGTAGGTTTGACATAGTCAGATCAACGTTTTCTTCCTTCTAAACTTTAACCACAAGTGTGTGAAGGGGTGTGGATATGAAGCCACTGGGCAATTTTTTTTTCTTCTTACTAAAGCTCTTTTTATTTTTCTTCTGTTCATGTTGTCAGTTATTATCCAGAGCAAAGACAGGCTGTTTATCTATGTCGGAAAAGACAACAACTTAATCTAATTTTGAAGGTAATTTGATATTTTTATCCCATATTTTCAACATGTTCTTGTAGACTTTAATTGGGTGGGAAATTATTGGTCTGTTTTTACTCCTTAAAACACGAAAAAGCTGCTTTTTATCCAGTCTTTTGATCTGTTTTCTTTCTCTCTTAGTGTTGAAAAGTAACTGAGGGCCTTAGCTCTTCTTTAGAATTTAATTGAGAGAATGTTTTAATGTAAGAGCAAGTAGAGAGGTCCTAATCTTGTATCCCTTAAGTAGGCAATCTATACCAAATCTGCTTATGTGGTTTTTGGTAATACTTGTCACAGAGTTTGCATGAAATACAAAAATAGAAGCAGACTTAGCACAATAATTGCGAGCAGACATCACTGTTTGTTTTTTAACCAGCAGTAAAATGAATTGTTATAGGCTAATCAGAAATCAACATTTGGGTATGTAATGCTCAAAATCTGGATCTTTATATCAGTAAATCAAATGTCCTTGAAGCCTCTTGGAGCGGCTTCTCTAAAAGGGGCTTCGCCCCTTACATCTTCAAAGACACAAACATTTAAGCTGTGTGTGATCCTAATGTAAAGCTAAATCTGTTGCGAGATGGTTTCTTTTCCCCACCAGCACATTAATGAGCTCATTCTTCAGTGTTGCTCTGGCGCTGAACAGGCTCACATCCAGAGCCTTGGGTTTGAACGTTTATGTATTTACTGAGAGCATATTGTATTAAATGGGGACTGCTTTGTGGGCTTCTTGTTCTTTTCTTTTCTCTCCTTCAGATTATGTTTAAGATCGATTGCTGGGGACAGATGTACAGAGTAGCTCATCATGTTTTCAATTCTTTTGCCACATTTGTCAGAAAATGAGCCTTTCATTACCCCACAAGTCAATACCCCCATCCTGGTACAGCCAGCGATGCTGTCCCTGCTGGATTCACATGAAATGATAGACTGAGGAGTAAATTAGTGATGGACACATTTATAGACTGAGATCCTGACCTTCCCGTGATTGATGTATGTTCTTTGGCAGCCGGAAGCCGACACGTATCAGGTGGGTGCCTGTTTAAATCAGTGGGAATCATTTCACAAATTGTTATATCACTGAATCTTAAAAAGAAGAAACAAGCGCACACCTGATGATAAACAACAAAATAATATGATCCTGCTGCATATTCGCTTCTGACACATTCACAGAACTGATTGGATTTTTAAACAAAGACACCAATATGAATCATCTGCAGATCAGGAGATGAGCAAGTCAGACATTTTACCGTACTTCTGAGGTTCAACCCACATAAACACCCTTGTGTCTCATTTAATGAATTGATATTATAATATAAACATGAAATGATCTGAAACATCTATTCATGGAGTCATATGGGTATTTTTACCATTATAGTCTGAGTTGCCTTGCAGGTCTAGAAATGGCGCCATGCTGTGTATTGAGTACACGACTGGATTAAAAGGCTCAGTATTTTGCTGAAGGCTGGTAAAACTGAAAGGATTCCACACAGTTGAGTAACAGTAATATTCAGTCAGTAAGCACTGAATAAATATGAGGCAGAAACATTAAACTTCACCTAAACTGCCTGCACCTACTAATTCTGAATCTAATCTATGTCAATATTTCTTGTATCTTTTTAGAATATTAGTTGAGGTCTGTATGTTATATCACTTAGAAAATGGAAGGTTTTTATTGCACTTTAAAACAAAACCAGGAAACGTCTATTCTTCTTATTAGTTTCCCTGACTTACTTTTCCATTCAATAATGCTTTCAGTGAAACACAGAGGCAAATATGACTGCAGATTACTCTGGATGTAAAAGAATATTCATACTAAGGGTTTTGTCAATAATCTTAATACTATTTTTTAGGCTCAGGTTTAATTCTATCTTATTTAATTCACACTTCGTTTCAGTACCAATCGTATGTGTTAAAAATTAGAAAATAATTCAATTGACCCTAAGCTTTCATTGTATATATATAACATATTTGAAAGCACAATTTTTCATGTTGCCTGGGTAACGAGACCTGCACCATTCAAAACGTCACAAAACTTGCCACTTACATGAAAGAAGTCTCTAAATGAGGTATGTCAAACTTGTGGTGGGTATCTACAACAGAAACATATTTCTTTGGGTCTTTTTTCCTTCACAGCTACAATGGATTTTCTACTTTTTTTGACAATTTATCATGAAAGCTCTCTAGATCTCTAACCCAAAAGGTAAATGTAAGGCAGTTATTGTCACATCAAGAAAGAGCTGAAATCAGGTAAGCTGTAAAAAACTAAAGAAATCTATTTTTTTATTTATAGCTTCCTGCCCAAAATAAACTTACAGGTTTGAAAGGTTTGATGTTTTCCCACCATATGAAAAAAAAAGGCAAAATCAGTTAAAATTTGCCAAGAGCCATTTTAGGAATACTCTAATGGTTGAATGAACTGCAAATATTACATGTAAAAACATGCAAAAAACGGGATTACAGTACAAACCATCACAGCTGAGCTCCTGTAGCAGGCTGTCAGAGCAGCAGTGCTTAACGAAAAGCACACTCTCCACATTAATCAAATGTGACCTAAAATTGTCCAGCGCAGGCTACTTACAGGTTCCCAAGTATAAAGGAAGCACTGCTCAACCTCAACAGAAATCCTCTGTAGAAGCTTCCGATGCTATCTAAGTGGATTTTGTCAGTTGTATGTTAAGCTCTCATTAATCATTATGGATAATATAACCTCTTATTGGTTTTCTCAGGGCAGTCATCACCCGTGCACGTATAGCTTTAAGTGAGTGGGTTTGTATTGCAGTCCCGAACTGCTAAATCAGATAGGCTGCTATATGAGGTGCATATAAATGAGAGTTGTGTCTCCCGTCTTGCCCGCCATGAAGAGTTTGGCGTGCAATCGCTTCATTAGCCATCAGTCTCCGTTAAGACACACTAATGGTTTTCTGGTTGCATGACAGTGACTTTGTGGCAGAGACCACTAGGATATTTTCCCTGCAATGCCTCCTTCCTGAGAGGAAAAAAAGTGCTGTTTCCTTTATTTGTTCTGCTCATACATCACACGGCAATAAAAGCATATGGCTCCTCTTCAGCAAATTAAACATCTGGATCAGTTTCCATGGATGGCTGACCAAACAGTTGCTATAAAACCCCCAAAGAAACATCAGGTGTGAGACAATTTTCTCTCTGCAGCTGAGCTCGGGGGCTCCATTGTAATGAAGATGTCTAGCCTTTTGGTTGCATGTTGTAGGCTCTCCCCTGTGCCTTTTAGATAGAACAGACCCTCGAGGAGAATAATGTAAATATGTACTTTTAAGGCACAAATAACTCATTTAACATCCCTTTTTTTTCCTTAACCTCATTGTGGCATTACCTTTTTCTTGGTTGTGACAGTCAAGTTTTTTTTAAATGCATTATATTCAGCACAGTACTCATTTTCATGGTCAAAATGGGTCACCGAATAAAGGCACGTGGCATGAAAAGAATGCACTTATGCTTCACTAAGAGCAAAAGAGTAGTCCTTGAATATTCAGAGCAGCTCGATTACATATCAAGCTACTAAGAGTTGGAGGGGGAGTGAAACACCACTTTGAATGTGTTAACATACATAATTGATGTCAATGTGTACATTCACAGCTTCTAGTGATGCTTTGGGTTTGCCGATCCCACTTGTAAATTTCAAAATATTTAACTGGTCTGGATTTTTAAATGACCACGTGGGACTGGGTGGCAGCGGGAGGGAAAAGCCGATAATTGATGAGTGCAGATGAGAACTTAGTTGTACAGTGCAGATGTTGTTTCCAAATCATTCAGGATCCATTCAAGCTTTGGCTCTTGACCGTGTCGGTCTCCTTTTAGATCAAGAGTACAACACAGTGAGGCGGTTTCAAACAAGTTGTCTCCAAGCAGGACGTAACGCACAGATATGGCTGGCGCCGTTTCGCTTTTTTCCTCCTTAGTCAGAGCAACCCTGTCAATGGGCCACACAGATCTTTGATTTAGGACATAAGCAGAATAAGGGGGAGGGGATTCAAGTGTTTGGGCATGGAATTGTCAGAGACATGTCAGTGTATTCCTGTCTATAGGAAGGAGGACCTTGGACTACATCAAACTGATTGCGCCTTGACCTACGACCAGCAAATAGACCAGTCCATCTCAGCTCTGTGTGTCTTTCTAAAGTCAGCTTCTTTTTCTTCAGCTGGGATACTTGGATACAAACTACACTCACTCGCTTTCGCCCTGCAGTCCGGGGTTTGGGATTCTTTAAAAAACCCAGCCCCGTGTTTCACCGATTTACAGTAAGAGAAACATCATACATTTATCATGCATTTTCTGATACACCGGAGGGTGGGGGGGGGGTAGCTTCAGGAGTTCTGTAAGGCTAATGAAGCGCACTGGGCCAGAGGCAGCAAGGAGAACACACTCCTTTAGTTTGCCACTGATGGACATTGGCTCGATTCCTCTAGCTGTGAAGGACTGAGGGAAAGAAAGATTAAGTTCTGCGAATAGCTGTAAATGCCCACCCCCCCCCACCCGCCCTCTCTCTTTCCCCCATCCCAGTTAGGGATGTTGCCCATGATTGGCACCCAGTGCAGAGAGAGCACTTTGAGGCTGCTGAATAGCGGATGAAAAGAGGTCTGCTGCCACTGCACCGGCTGGACGAGCTGCGGGTGCTGCCTGTGTACCTGCACTGATGCAATATGAAGGTTTGTGCAAACCTACGGCTTCCCTGCATAATTCAAGCAAGACAAGGTGCTTCAGCGTTAGGTCCACGTTAAGTTAACTGTTTCGACCAGTGCAATGGGCAAATCCAACTATTAGAGGTTTCCGAATATGACGCCTTTGATGATGTAGGTGATTGGCACATAAATAATGGTAAGGGAACATTTAGGAGAATAACGTTTTTTGCTTTTTCTAAAGTCTACGGGGAATTGATTGATGCTTTATTTTATGGGTGTTTGGCATGATAACGAACTACCTACGTCCGTCATGCACTGTACAAGCAGGCAGTGTAATGTATAACACAAGGTTTGTGAGGCTCACCTGCAGGTGATGATTTCCCGGTAACAGGTGGCGATGTCTTTTTAGATCCCTTTGCACTCCGATTCTTCATGTGATGGCTTGGATTTGATTCATTTATGCAACGCTCTTAAAACATCTCTGCGAAATCACAATGTAGCCCTTGTGGCAGCATCGCCCACACGGCATCCAGGTCCACTACACTGTAGCGATGTGCGGAGGAGAGAGGGAAAAAAAACAAAAAAAACAAAAACAACCGATGGATAAAGCAACCTGCACCACATCCGTCCACATTTCCCGGGCAGCGGCCGTTTTCAGGGATTCCTTTCCGTCGACATCTCTGGCAGAGGGTCCGGTCTCACAGCCCCGCGTCTGTCTCTCTCGCGCATCGTGCCTGCCAACATGACTGAAGATGGAAGTCGCACGCGGCTCCGTTCAGTGCGCGCGCCGCGAGTCCGCGTTTCGCCAAAAGCACACGCGCAACTCCGGCCCCGTGCGTTTCACACCACTCTACTTTTGGGGAAGCTTTCTTCCCAATTTCTACCAGTTACATCTGCGTGCACTGCAGTGCCCGGTGGCTGTGCCAGATTAGTTGTGCGTATACTTAAAAAAAAAAAAAATCTTTCATGAGCTTTTAAGTGGGTTTTGTTTGAGATTTAGATCTCTGGATCTGGAAGATTTTTGGAAAGCAAGAACAAGACCAATGTCACTCAGCTGACATATAATTAAAGAGTTCTTAGGTTCACATTAGAACATGGTATAGAGGGATGTATTTATTATAATGGTTTAGGTCAGGACATTAAGACAGAAGGTATATGACTGTTGACTTTTAGCCTGCATTCTCAAGTCTCTTTTGTGTACAAAAAGCAGGCTCTTAAAACTTAAAATATTTCAGATGGAGCACTTGGTTTTAACTCCGGAAAGGCTAAAGGGATCATGTAAGGATAATAGGTTATGTAAGGAGTCACTGGCTACTACAAGTCTGCAGAAAATTAGAGAAGGCCAATGTACAGTTTTCTGCAATGATTGACTTCCAGCAGATGAGCCAAAGACAAAGGAAAAGCATTCTTGGTTTTCCTCAGTAATATACGGCTCTTTCCAAGCTTACATCAAAGGCTCCAATGTAAGATACATCAGCCTGAAAGGATTGGCTTAAAAGCACACACACACAAACACACACACACTCAGAGGGGTGAATTTCTCAGCCTTGCTCAGTCATACACTCCTGACTCATTTTGCGCTGCCAGTGAGGACTGGTAAACATACACTGTACATACATTCACTGAGTCTGCGTTGTGTTTGGACTCTCTCTCTCTCTGTGGACTTCTCATAAGCAGCTCTGCACGCTGACCAGGTGCATCTCATTTCCATGCTGTCGCCATGCCAGCTGAAAGATCCCGCTGTTTCCCCAGGCAAGACTTAGACGGCTCGTCAGATCTTTGGACTTGCCTATACTGACCTTAAAGGCTCATCACGGTATCAGCGGCAATTATTCCTATATCAAGCAGCATGTGCGTATTTCTGTCTGAAGGACTTGGGTCTCATGTAAGACTTGTTAATTAAGGGTCCAGCCAGTGCTGGCTGCAGTGGACAGGCAGTACTGGGATTTTTTTTTTTGGGCTACAGCTGTTCTCGAGGTTGTCTATGCCAAGGGCGATGGTGTGATGGGGAGATAATAAATAGATGCGCTTACTGACTTTACACCTCACCGCAGCACAGCCACCATGAGCCTGTCCAACCCTGTCCTTCCTAATGCTTCCACTGTAACGCATTAGTAAACTGCAGGAGAGCCTAACCTGTTACTCAGCTTGTATACATCTACGTTAGAACCAGGACTCAACAGAGGCATGGTCACTGGACTACAGATATTACTGCCACAAAATGACTGCAGTTAAGGGTGACAGAGTCTTTCAAAAACCATATTCTTAACCAAATTCTCCAGGGAGGAAAGTGGGTTGTATAAAGACGGATAACAATGTGTCTGAAATAGAGCTCAGATGCAGTCATTTCACATGAGAGGTTTCTGTGATTGTCTTCTTGTCCGTCCTCTCCTCACTGGTTTGAAGTCTGCAACAGTAAGAGGGGAAAAGCAATCACAGTGAGAAACTATTATCTTTGAATGAAAAGTTAATAGCAGCCATTTGCAGAATTTGATTGGATTTTTTTATTTTTAGTTATGTGTAAATAAGGAGTTTCATTCAAAATGCTACTGAAGCATATGTTCTCATGAACATTTCAATACACAGACACATATTTATATATAGTGATACCACCCAATATAGAAGGACTGAAAGACAACCAAAGTGTCAGACAAATAAAACACATTTAAAACCATTCCTAAAGCCCAATTAAGATTTTAAAAAGGGGTTACGTTTGATATGAACAAAAATAAAAGATCTTAGAAAATAAAGGATCAGAATTATGGACAACTCATAAAACTGCATACCACAAAACAGCCCATCTTTATCTGAGAAAAAATATGTTCTGTACAGGTAATATATAAATAAAGATAAAGGTAGATAAGGCACAATCTCTAATTCTGGATAACAAAAGCATGGTATCCCTCTAACATTAGCATGACTAGAAAATCGGGGCCATGCTCACATTTAAATAGAGCTCATTTTAACATGTGTTACTGCCCTGCCATGACCTGATGCAAGATTGGGATTTCAAAGCCCTGCTGATTCATTTCCAGGCTCATAAACAATTGCCTCTGCTTTTCAGAGCCATGTGTGCTATGATGGGAGTCTTCGCTGCATGCTCTCACTCCCCCTGTCAGTGAGGAGCATCCATCCACATGAATGCAGGAAACAGAGTTGAAGCATGAAAAATGCAAGCCAGCGTTTTTCACCTGATCATACAAGCTCTACTTCTCTTGGATATGATTAGGTTGGTATTGATTGCAAAGCATTTTTTCTTTAAGCGCAAAATGTTTTTCTGCAGGAACACCACTATTTCTCTCCCATACTTGCCGTGCAGAGAGCTGAATCTGCCACGGTAGCCAGGAGTTATTATGTATGGATAACCTTCCCTTCCCTTTTTTTATTCTAAGCAGGCACAATGGGAAACTCTTCATGATCTGCAATTATGTTTTCCAGATAAGATAAGCAGTTCACAATTAACTTAAGGCTTGCCCCAGACATGAGGGGCCTTTCATATCTGCTGACCCAGCCAATCAAACTGCTCCAGGAGCTGTTTTTCAATATCACCATGGCTAAGCTTGTGCCTTTGTGTGCCTCTGTTGTTTTTCCTTTTTTCCTTTTAGCCCTCACTACACAAGATTCTCAACTGACAGAACTCTCTCAGAAGAACTGACTCCAACACAAGAGGGCGTACACTGCTAAGTTTGCCTCTCCTTGTCCAGTTCAGCAGCAGCAGGGATAAATTTGATTATCAGGCTGACCTTGAAAGGGACTACGCTTAAATTTACATTCCAAGGAGGAATACCATATTGCATTATTGGCAAATAGGTTTCTTACTTTCTCCACACACAACTGGATTATGTTTAACCACTCAAAGCAAATGGAGAAGTTTGGTCAGTTGATAGTTTTCTGATTAGGTGATAAAGCCTGCTGTTTATTTTTAAATCTGTTTAATCATGAGAATAAACTGACAGTTTGAAAATGTGTGATGATGTAAAACATGTAAGTGCGTTATCCCAATTACATATGTCGCCAGTGAAGGGTGAACAAGTCCCCAGTCTCCAAACTTAACGCCCACAAGTGATGGCATTTTTCACACAATCCACGCATTTCACTTGAGAGCAGCTTTTGTCTTCTGTCATCCTCGATCTTTCTAAAGTTGCATTCATTTCTTTAATTGCTCGTACTTTGCTCGACTTGCCACATACTTGACTTGGATGCCAACTGACTGCACACTTACATCTACGATACGTAGGAAATGTAAAAACCACCTGTAGTTGGAATAAACGTCAGATGCCGTGCGCAGTTGGGGGGCATGAGTCCCGTTTTTTTTTTTCAAGCGCAGTACTTAAAGCGACATTTAATTGGTTTGAGCTCCAAGTATATGTAAATTTAAAGTGAATGGCTCCTCCCATGCACCTGATAGGGAGTATTTACAGCTCTTTATAGCTACCAGCTACACTGTTTCCAGGAGCGCAGCGACGCACCATGACACTCCACTGGACTTAAGCAATAAGGATTTCCGTCTTTACGCCGCAAACTAAATTTGACCGACCGTAAACTGAGGGGGAAAATAAGTTTGTCAAAAGTTTTTTTATTTTGTTTTCCAAGATGCCACGCTCTTTTCTGGTCAAGAAGCACATAAACTCAGCAAAGAAGCCTAATTATAGTGAGCTGGAAAGCCCAACAGGTAAGGTTTTTTAAAGTGCCACAAGTTATGTTTCTGTACCTTCGTTTTTTTTTTTTTTTTTTTTTTACTCTAGCTGAAGTTGGCTTTTAAATCCGTCCTTCCCGCTCCAGCGGTGACAGCCAACATCTGACCAAAAAAAAAATCAACTTTGCTCTCCCTTTTTTCAGTATTCATCACACCGCACTTCTACAAGGGTCTCCCTCTGTCTGTCATCCCCCAGCCGGAGATCCTGAGCCCGGCCGTCTATAGCCCCATCACAGTGTGGACTACCAGCAACCTGCCGCTGTCCCCGCTGCCCAGTGACCTCTCCCCCATCTCCGGATACCCCTCATCTCTCTCCGACACCTCCTCCAAAGACCACAGTGGCTCGGAAAGCCCGAGGAGCGATGAAGACGAGCAGATGCTGCCCAAGCTGACGGACCCTCACGGGGTGGAGGCGGAAAAGTTTCAATGTACTCTGTGCAGCAAATCCTACTCCACGTACTCTGGACTGCTCAAGCACAAGCAGCTGCACTGCGACGCCCAGACGAGGAAATCGTTCAGTTGTAAATACTGCGAGAAGGAATACGTTAGTCTGGGAGCTCTCAAAATGCACATCAGGACTCACACCTTGCCTTGCGTTTGCAAAATATGCGGGAAAGCCTTCTCCAGACCGTGGCTGCTCCAAGGACACATCAGGACGCACACGGGTGAGTGAGCCAGGAGTGGGGCCTCTTCTGATGAAGGCATGTGATTTAACGTTTTAGTGGCTCCAGTAAACCCGGTTACAAAGCTGTTTGGTGATTAGACTAAACAAAAAGGTTAGATTTCCTGTAGATATACTCCATTTAGTGCGGTGTCCGGTCAGCATAGGGCCGCTGGTTCCAGCTAGATAAATCCAATCTGCCAAGATGCCTCTTTGGCTTCACGTTTGATGCACATTCATCCACGTGCAGTTGCTGACCAAGTCCCTCTTTTTCTCATGTCTGCTTTCCACAGGTGAGAAGCCTTTCTCCTGCCCGCACTGCAACAGGGCGTTTGCCGACAGGTCCAATCTCAGGGCTCACCTACAGACCCATTCGGATGTGAAAAAATACCAATGCAAGAACTGCTCCAAAACCTTCTCCAGGATGTCTCTTCTACACAAGCATGAGGAATCTGGTTGTTGTGTAGCACACTGAACTGGGATACTTTTCCACCACCAGAGAACCCCCTCTGTTTCTTCTTTATTTTTCCAAATCCAGCTGAAGTGTCAGGGAATCACACCAACTGGGGGGGGTTTGGGGTGGGGGGGTTGTTCACAAATATGCAGACTATTTTCCTACTACCAGTCCTTTTCATTTCAGTGAGAAATAGCACAGAGCTCCCATGCTTCTTGCTTCAATCAGTGTTTCTGTGATTGCAATCAGTGTCGAGCTTTGTCAAACCATGTACTCACCTACCTGTGCTATTCATGCACTTTTATGCATGTCTAGAAAAGTTTTATAGGTCTTCGCAATGTTATCTTCAGTGTTTGTGTTCCAATGTCTTTCATAGGCTGTTTTTGATGTCAATCCCTTTTTTCTTTTCTCCCCCCCTTGTACAAGCAATACCAAAAAGTGCATTCTGATTGGCAGTATGACTACAACCAGTGGAGTAGTGAAGCCATTGCTACGTAGGGAACAAGTGCAAACTTAGATTTAGTGGGAGATGTTTATAACCATTGCACAGCCTATAGAAACGGTGTACCAGCACTCAAGTAGCAGAAACAAGTGCCTCAGTTTTACTCAGCAATATCACGTATTTGTCAGCAACAGGTTCTTTTTATATTTTTGTATACTGAATGTAAGAGTGACTGAGATGATTGTATACTAACAGTGAAAACTGTGATGCTGAATGATTTTGATATTTTTTCATATTTTCATGACACTTTTGAAAAATAAATTACATTTTGTATATTTCTTTTGGCACCTTCCGAGTTGCTTTTCACATCTGAGGCTCTAGCTGTGGTGTATGAGCTGCTCTTTCAGAAGGACTCAGCAGGATTCGCTGATTGTCACACGCTTCAAACGAGAGAAGGGGAAAGAAGGCACCGAAGCAAACGATATTTAATCCAGCTTGCACCATCTCATGTTAAGCAGATGTAAAAAATGAGGAGAGAATCGACTCAGTTCTGCATCAGGCCTGAACCTGTTCCCCGTGAACCTGTCCAGACATCAAACACTCTTGAAATTTAACACATACTAGCTATATTGACCTGCACTTACTTGTTATACCTTTTGAGGGCCCACAACTCTGTCTTTGCCCAAGTGTGTGTTAAGTTTAAGTGTGAAGGTGTAGCACTTATAAAAACTCATTCTGATTTTGAAAGCCATCCATCAAAGTAACTCCAAATTAATTGAAGCAAGGGAAAGGAGGGGTTGGGGGTGGATTACATACATTTTTAACTTTCTGCTCAAAATCAGCCGTCACCACAGGCCGCCAGGGCATTCAATACATGGATTTTAATTTTTTCACCGAATGATCAAATTAGCGTTTTCTCTGCCGACCTCCTTTATCTCTGGGGTGCTTGTCATCAAGGATTAAATAGACTTCCCCTGCTACATTATGTTGTCTTACGCCATATGCTGCCTCACAACAGGAAGAGATTAGACTACAAAAAGCACAATGCCTTCGGGGCATACAGTCAAAGCTGAACTCTTTTTCTAATAAACCCCACTGTTAGTTCATGTATGCGCTAATGGTCAAAAGCTGCTGACCTAAAAGATGCGATCTGCCAAACACACATACGTTTTTTTCTAGCTGCGAGGGGACTGAACTCCCCTGTAGGTATGACTTCCCTCTGAGTCATAGCCGAGCTATTCCAGGTGCTTGCCCGCTTCAGTCTTGATAGGGTCAGGTGGAAATGGAAATGATCAACAACACCAAGACAAAAGGAAGACAGAATAAAGCAGGTGCAGCCAGGAGGATACAAACCACAGTCATAACTCCACTTATACTGTGGCGCTCCAGTCACGACTTAATGTGGAAATGGCACTAGCAGCAGGTTGTATTATTCAGATCATAAAAGTAAAGTGCTATCAGGAGGGCTCTTGACACTCTCACAAACACTATCAGTCCTCACATTGGACGTTCTAATCCTTTTCTTTGAATTACTAGACTTTATCACAGAGTTGTCCATTAGGGAGAAAATATCAATGTTTTATGCCATTAAACTTTATAATCTTAGAAAAAAAATCTTTATAACAATAATTACCTGCATGAAGGATTCTTCTGATAACCATTTTTTAAACACAACCCCCAAATATTTGACCTAGCTGTTGTGTCTGTGGTGGAATGAGTTGGAAATGGACCAGGAATCCATTTGTTTTCAAACATGTGGCTATTGGAGAATGTGTTTTTGATATATCACAAATGTAAGATTGCATTTAATTATATGTTTTCCTCAGTAATGAAAAAAAATCAGCATAATAAAAAACTTAGCTGTAGCACTTTTTGAACCAAACTACCGCGGTGACCATTTCTTTATGGTATCGTTTTACTAATAATCAGTCTTGAAAAAATATTTTGCAAATCTTAAATCTAAAAAGAAAATCCCCTAATGTGTATCAACCCAAATTACATTTGGAAAACTTTAACGTGTGACCAAGCAAGCCTCAAAAGTATTCCATTCAACAAACAAGGAAAAGAAAATCTTTGGTATTTCTGATTTCAAAATCACTAAAGTGCCTTATTACAATAAAGATTTGCAGGAACTGATTCATAGTCTAATGCCTGCAGCCCTTGTATAAATGAATATCTTCCATTTTATCTGCCTATTCATTTCATTTGGAAGCACATCATCTTGATTTCTGACCGTTATTAAAGGCTGAATTAACAATACCATTTAAATTACATCCATTTTCCCCAATGTTAGATAAATGTCCTCAGTGTGCACTTCCATGCCCAGGGCGACATCAATATGTAACCTCAAAGAATAGATTGCTTGATGTAAAGTAGAGCATGACTTGCTGAAACCTGCTGACTTTATGGTAAATCTGGGAGTAAGATTCCTTTATGACCATTGAGTGGAACAAATTAAATTAAGGGCATTCTCTAAGGTCTCACTATCTTGGCTGGAGAGTGATCCCCAGCTTTTCTCTTATCCACATCAGAAAGGAAAAAATTGTGTTCCCCCTTTACCCTAAAAAAGCCTGGAGAAATGTTTGCCTGCATGAATGCTTGCATTTTATTAAAGACCACTCTCTTATTCTGTTGTCTTCACTGCATTTTCATGTTTTACTTATTTAAGTATTTATAGATAAAGGAGACACTATAAAGGGGCAAATGTGATATTTACATAAATTGTGCCACAATTATTGAAGTGAAAGAATGTAGTGGACATGTGATGGGCGGTCAGGTTCCAGTCAAATACAGAGGGATGGTGGCTGACCCTCCGTGTAGGTCAGAAATGATTTTTCTTAGGCCTGTCATTACGAACACCAAAGTGAGGACACAGGCATGGCACTGTTGTCTTAATCAATAGCTCTGTAGTCTCTTTGTTGCTTTCTTGTTAAGAAGAGGTCAGCTGTCAAAGAATCCTGTGATCATATTCACTTGATTGTATTTCCTTCCTTTAGCTCGGCCCACAAAAACCCCATGACCACAGCTGTACAAGATGATCTCTGTACACAACATGATCCTTTGTGATATGAAGGAGTGAAAGGTGCTTTTCACAGTAATAGATAAACACCTTTCATCTTTTTCTATAAAAAGCAGAAAAAATGCACTGATCAGTTACATTAACCTTTAAAAGCAACTTAAACTGTAAAGGCAACAAAGATGAGCAGTTACATATCCTGCAGCACTTTTTGCGTTTACTACACCCTGACAGACACAATATATGTATTGATTATTTCATTTTTTCGTGAAGTGAATCAAACATGATTTCACCACAACAGATTCCATTAGCTGGTTAAAAAAAAACGCATGGAAAAATGTGTGAAATCATTCAATATGACGCACACATGTGTAGAAGAAAAAACTGCCTCTGCAGTGTTTCACTTTTGCTAGGCTGCATGAACCTCATCACACTAAAGATGCCATGAGTAACCAGGGAATGCCACACATACATGTCAGTGAGGAGCTACAACACTATGGCGCTATCATCACCTCATACAAATCACTGCGTTGTTTTCTCGTACCCCTCAGCGGTTTCTCTTTAGAATGTGGATTTCAGTGTTGTGATTCTAGTCGAAAGGTATAGAATGGATAATGGAAACATTGATCTTATACAGTCACTTTTCTTTCTTTTTGTAATTTTTCTTTTTTAATGAAGAAAAAAAATGTCTATCTTTATATCACCATTATCTCTTTTCCCCTCATTACCCACATGCATCATTGTGTAACTCAATCACAATTTAACTGAGCTATTTCTTTTGGAGTTACGGGTTTTACGAGGCAAGAGCGGAAGTTTATGACAAATAGTCTCTATATTATTAGAAATAGATATTCACCCTTAAAGTCTGAAAAAAATTACAGATAAAGCTTCTTTAAAGTATTTTAATCGGCATTGGCCCATTCTGTAATGAATATAGCCATCTGCACATGGGTCAAGGCGCTTGATGTAAACCGGGAACCCTTCGAATCATAAAAGTTCACCCCTTTACAAGTTAGCACACAAGAAGATCAACATGCATGCACACATGTACCTGCACAGATTTGCTGACGCTGTGGCAGTTGGTAATCGCATCACTGAGTCCTGTCTTCCTTATAAAGGTTTCATCAGTTATCCTATCAAGTCAAAGATTATGTGGTATGACCTGTGTAGCTTAAAGAGCTACGCCCAATAAGGGAAGTTCAATAACTCTTCATCTTGATGCTGTCATCCTGCAGCTCTCCAGACACCTGTCCCCCTCCCTCACATCCCAGAGACTGTCCAGGCATGGAATGTCAGTTCAAATATATCCCAGGATGTGGTACAGTAGGACGGTGATCAGATGTATGAAATAATATTCTAGCAGCCCTTTGAACGTTGTCAGTTTCACAAAGTGGTACAGTGGGAGACAGCTGGTTTGATGTGAACGTGGGATCACATGAAGTGGGGAGAGTCAGCTTTTGATATGAATAATGATGATGGCATTCTTTGAAAAGCAAGTACAGCAAATTGCTCATTTTTAATCCTTTCAGACCTCAGAACTGCCTCTGACACTGCTGATCATCCCATTTTAATTTCAACGCTGTAAGCGCTGGGTGGCTTTACCTATCATGTGCTTGACTGATTCAAAGCGAAACTTTAGTTCCACAGATTGGAATACATTTTTTTTCATTAGAAATGTGACATTTGGCGTTCCTTGGGGCAAAGCCTCAGACCAGTTTTTGTTTCATACATGCTTTATCTGAGCTGTATGAGTAAGTAGCACTGTCTTTCATTTTGTTGTTTTGCCATTAGTATGGTTCATCTTAAATCCTAATAATCCTCTGATTTCCTGAGGCAACAGATTTCTGCAGAGGTTTTAGCACAAGTGTCGTATTATTGTTAACAAAGGATGAATCCTGCTGGCTTTGTTTGCAGCACTGCTCCAAGGCTGGCATTTGTTTTGTTTTTTGGGTTACATTTTTTTGTTACCTCTGGAGATACCTAAATTAAAATGAATTCTAGTGATATTCTATTTTCCTTTGCTTGATCAATTGTGATGCGTTAGACAGCATGACAGCCTTTCAAAATGTAACCAATATATACTTTTGAGTTAGTGTGATTTCAAGTCTCTATGTGTTAAGATATATAAAGTATTTCCGTGCTAATACATTAGTTTGTATGGAGATGTCAGTAGCGGTGAACAGGAAATGTGATTGCATAAGTGTTACTTTGACCACTGCAGAACGTCTAATCAGACTCTCACATCACTACTAACTTGGCCAGTCACAGTACAAGTAATCCTGTTCTGATGCTTTCAAGCTTCATCGTTCACATCCTTGATCAGTGATGATTTTCTTCATCAGTTCTGCTGTTTGATAGAAATTCAGAGTTTGTTGCTGACCTTGAAACAATTATCCTAACGTGAGACTCATTTAGATTCAAGTTAGCATAAGCATAATTTAATTTTGATACTAGATAAAGTCAATGGGTCCATGATCCACAAAAGGAAATTGGAAACAAAAACCCAAAGTCCTATCATACTCTTAAATAGACAAGTTAAAAAGTAAGGACTAATTAAAGGATTTTTTAGACTTGTTCTCCATAGAGGCGAGGCAAACTTCAATTGTTTAGGCATATGTTGCAGTGTCAGTGAGGAAAATGTCTCATCTCGTATCTCTGGGCTTTCTAGTGCTAAAAAAAAGTCCTTGGTGGAAAAAAAAGCAGAATAAATTGTTTCACCTTCCTGCTGAAGAACACAATATTCTTCACGTGTGTCACCTGTTGTGATTCATCACTTTAAAATGTCCTGCTGAGGTCTTTTCTATTTTGTTTTCAACGAAAACATGTTTTTCATCTTCATTTTCAGCAGCTGGAGTCATTTTAGAAAAAACAAATATTAGACATTTGTATCATTAGCGACAGCGGGATTTCTTTAGAAGACACTTTTAAGTCCATCAGAATTCGTACTTTTTTATTAGATTTTGTTAGCACTTGTGTATTATTTTTAAAATCGTCAACTTCCACTGACAGCAGAAAATAAGCAGAAGTCCTGCTGTCGCCATAGAAAAGAAAAAAAACCCACTGGCTTATTTGCAGAATATAAATTGTAAAAACATGAAAACAGATAACTTAAAAAACAAATCACTATTTAAGTTAACCATGCTGGTGTGACCCTGTTCATGGGCTGAATACACTGAAGAGTTTCTAGGAACATACTACAAGTAACCAATGTAATAGTGCAGATGTGTCAAGATCACCCCAAGTTGTGTCATAAAGGAATTAAAAGTATTTTTATCACTTCTACTTTTGAAATCAGTTTCCTATGCATGAATGACACCTAATCATCTAACCCCTTAGCAACAAGGACAACACAGTGAGCCAAGCTAAAAAGTATGTTTCAAGCCTGTTTCAGTGAACTGGAAAAGGCAACAGTTTCTCACTCATAAACCCTTCTGATATATCTGCCTGTAAACACAAACAATGCTGTGTAAATTTAGCAAGGCTGTTTAATTTCACCTCCAAAACTCCGGATTAATTTTTTTATCCTTCCTCGCCGACAGCATGGCTTCTGCGGATGCTATTTCTGCTGTTGTTTGTATGTTTTCCCATCTCCTACATACAAATAAAACTGATTCCAGAACCTCACAGTCCATGTCTTGATTTTTCTATGATATTATCTTGGGAGTGAGGATTCGGACACAAAGCATTCTCAGATCCACAGTTTGGATCAAATAAAAGAGGGAGGGTATTGGCAAAGTGCAGCAGAAAGACTTGAACAAAAAGAATGAGGTAAGAAACAGGGTACCTGGTGGACCATTAAGGTAAAGACAAATATGACAGTGAGCAAATATGATAGAAATGCAAAAAAGAACAATTTAAATAAAACCTGCCTCGTATTGGGATTTGCCCAGGCTAAAGTGGAAATGGGTTAAGAGAAGTTAATCTTACCCACTGAGAGTTAAACTGCTCATCCTTACAGGTTAAGTTTGTCTCAGGTCAGGGCACTAACAGTGGACTGAGACGGATTAATTTCTTGTGTGAGTCTCAGTGCTGTGGTCAACATTGTTCCATGTGGTATGCTGAGCGTTTTCAGACTGAGAACTCTCTGGAGGACGAGGTTATGCCACTTCTGATGAATGATTAGGCAATTATTTTTCTGACCTCATTCTGAACCCTAAAATTACATGACCTAAAATTCTATATAGAGATTTTAAAAAAGCATGTCACCCATCCAACATTAAGTGAAACCCAGATTAAGATTGGTTCTGTTAGTCTAAATTTGTTCTCTACATCTAAATCTGGACAACATGGATGATTTGTGAAACACTAAGCTTCCAAGTGTGGCTAAACTGAGTTGATAAATGTTTACTTTGGTCCTCTTGATCTTTTAGCTAACCTCCGCTTGTGAGTGGTCCAGGCTGGTAGAACACTGTGTCTCTACATTTGGATGTGATTGTATCACAAAACTCTACTCTAAGCAGCAAACTAACAGTAGGCAGGTCTAAGCCAACTCTTTTACCAGCTTCCTGAGATCCAAAATAAGAAAGACGAATGAAAAACTGGATTTTATTCTAATTGTGTGGCCGTTTCCCAAGTGATTCATTCTAGTGAACAACCTGACTGTGTCCATGAAAAACTGTGGATGTGTAAAAGTGACTCGAGCCAAGAATCTTGAAGTCGACTGAGTAGCTGATTTAAGGAGAATCCTGTCATCCCAAACAAGTTTCTTATTTCACATTCACACAGTCCTCCAAGAGTGGAATCGATAGATGACAAGTCGTAAGTGCATTCAGAAGAACACACAGAGAAGTGAACTGTTATATACAGAAGGTTTCGGAGATTACAGCATGTCATTTTGATTGCTGATAACCTCGGTGTACTCGTGTTAGGGAACAATGGCGCGTATAAGAGCATGAGTCTGAGATGATCCCTGAGAGGCCAACAGACTGAGCCAGTGACCTAATTATGATGAATCAGGGCTGGGTAAAGCTGTCTGGCCACCAGCCATTTCCAAGTGGTTTTACACTCCACAGCAACAGCATGTACAGCGTCAACAAAACAGCACAACACAACAGAGATGCTCTCAGCACAGGGAGGCTAAGGAAACGTCATGCCATTTATTCTTGCTGTGCGAGCTGAAAATAGAGAAGAGGGGATTTTTGAATGCTTGAAAATGCATTTCATGAGACGTAATCTGATAGTTTTATGAGTTTTTATAAAGCTTTTAAGTGAACTACAGCTATTCGCTGTCCTCACGGGATGGTCACTTAGACTTTTTTGACGATGCAGTAAATATGAAGCAAAAAGCTTCCAGTTAGCATCGCTGAATGTAATGAATGGAAAGCATGAAACAGCTATCCTGACTGTCCAAACGTAACAAAATCCACATACCAACACCTCTATAGCTCACTCAGGGATTATTTACTAGACTGTTTCTTGGATGCGTTCATAGTCTGAAATGGCTGACTAAAAAGCTCAAAGAGGGGTTTTTCCACCATAGCTGATCCAGTGTTTGTATGGAGCCAGTGCCTAACTTTGAACCAGTTCACTCTGCTTTGACTGTCGAAGCACTGGCTCCAGTCCCAAAAGCCTGGTGCCACAGTATCAACTCTTAGATGGCCAGAGCAATGAACCACTTACACAAGGGACTGGGCGCAAAGTTATCGAGAACAACCAGTCCAACTAAAACGTTGTGACCACCGTGTCTAACAAAAACAAAGTCAGCATACCATCTAGCATGCATAATTCAAGAGTAAACAGCAAAAACTGAGATTCACTAAGACTGTGGAAGTCAAAGCACCAGAATAAGCCCATGAGCACAGTGATACACATATTTTTCTTCCATTTAATCAATAAAGATCAGCTCTCTTGTTGTAAACATCCATCATTAGCAGTGAATGCTCTTTGAAATGCCAGAAAACATTTCCAAACACCAATTTTGAACTTAAAGGTCTGTATGGACAGAACAAATTACGAGTGCAAAAATTGAGTTTTAGAGGTTCTGGAAGGCAGCCTTGTAAAGTTGGCTTTACCGAGTTATTCTCAGTATTTATTTAAGTCCTTGACAGCGCTTTTCAGACATGAACATATGCAGGTTTAATGGCTATAGCAGTTGCCAAGTGTATATTCCAATAAATTTCGATCAAGAACGTCAAAACCCTGCATCTGTGACTAGGATGCAGGTATACCTGCTGAGCTGAGGGTGGGTCAAAGAGAAGCTGATGGGGGACACACACCACTGCAGGAACCTCTTAACCCATGAGTGAGCCTTCTGCCAGCCCACAGTTTCTCCGACATTTAGCCTGTAAGCGGCATTAGGCAGTGTAAGCATTAGGGCTTAAATATGCTCTTTTGGATTTATCAGATGTTTCAGCTCCAAAGAATGACATAGAAACTAAACTAAAGTTCAAATGTGTCCTCTACTCTGGCACTCTCTGGTAGCTACTGCCGCCATGGGCCGGCTTGTATATTTTTTCCCTTCTTTTAGTTGGTTATCTGATCATCAGTGGAGGGAAAAGGTGAGCAAGGAGCGCAAACAAAAGGTGCTTGAATAAACTAGCTCCCGGCCACATTATTCAGTCCCTGGGTATTGTATTGTGCTGACAAGCCTCAACAGGACATGAGCCTCCGAAGTAGCTTGTCTGGGGATGAGTAGCAACAGGGATCTTGGTGGAAAAAAGTGTAGTCAAGCTGTTTCTATTCTCCTGCATAATCATAGTTAAACATAAGAAAGAATCAGCTGGGAGATGTAATTTTAAGTATTGTGGCACAACAGAGTTGCCAGGTAACATCTTTTAGTCATACTTGATTTTCTGATTTTGAATTTGGCTCATTGTGAATACTGTATTCCAATTAAACTTTTTCTTTTTTCATTTCAAGTATAACATAATATTGATCAAACTGCATTGTAACTGATAAAAGACAACAGAGCTGAACAATAGAAAAGAATCAATGACAGACTTGGAAAGGTTACCACCCTTCAAAAGCCACAATAATTCTCCACCACCAACATAAAACCGCAAGCCAAACTAAAAAGCCATGTCACAAATGCAACAGACATTTTGTCCCATCATTTCACTAATGTAACACAAATTAAAGCTTTTTAAAATACTTTTCTTGTCATTTTTCCCTATTTTGTTGAATAAGCTCATTGTACGTAACTCAGTTCTATATTTGCTCATGTTTGTCAGTTACTTTTGGTCACACTGTGAACATTTTCCCATTGATAATATCTTTATGACTTCAATAATGGCTGCTTTGGCTTTTATATTTGTGCTGTGGCTTTTGGAAAGCATTGCACTTTCACCATCCCTTTAACTAAATAGCAGCTAAATATTTATTCAATTTAATATTTTCATCCTTTATCAGATCTCTATTTGTTGGTTTGGTTTTAAAATGAAGACCAACGTGTTTAGGTTTTGGCATTAAATAGTACTTGGTGTGATTCTAAATCAGACTCAGATAACTTAATCACAGCCTATGGGCAGTTTATTTGTTCCCTGACAGTTCATCCATTCGGTTCCTGCAAACATATACCAAACACTTAAAATGTCAGTGGAACAATATTAATCGTGTTTGAGTTTGCACTTGTTGGCTAAATCAATGAGGACTCCTGTCACCTTTGCAGAAGCCAAACAGTGGACAAAATACACAAACAATAACCCCTGCTAAAAAAAACGTTACTTTACTAAGTCATCCTGGGCATGAAAAAAAATGTGTCCTTGAGGTACCTATTTTTCAGATTTGTGCACGTTTAAAATTTTGTCATGAGACCAATTTGTTATATGACAATATAACAGTGTTCAGGCATCTGTACATTCCCGGTTACTTTTTAAAAGTATAACTTGAAAGTGAAAAATAAAATAATGCTACTTAAATCCTGCAGATGGTTTGCATTAAATATTTGTTTGATCATTTTTTAGGCTTGAGTAAAACCAAAATGTACAAATCTATTAAATTCAATCAGCACACAAGTTCATCTTAAATGAGTATATTTCGTTTCATGCATTTTATCACAAAACGTTGCAGAATATTTCCATTTTAAGGAATCATCTGGTCTTTCTGCATGCTATCAGTGAGCTGATGTGCAAAGATGTCAAGGCTTTAAACAAGTTGAACCCGGGCCAAAAGGTTTTTGCAAGAGGTTTAACACATAATGAATCATTTTGTTGATGGCCATCCTGTACGAGTAGTTTTTGCCTGAAAGAACATCATGTCTTTTTAATTTCAGCTGTGGAAGAAACATTTGTGAGGATTCACTGGGGTAGTTTTTCTTTCCCAAGATTTTACAGAGGTGCTTAGGTGTCATTGTAGGGTGTCATGGTAGGTTGAAGGAAACAGTAATGAATGGAGTTGCTGAAACATGCCAATATGCACCAAAAAATATGATCTGCTTTAGGATCAACTTAGGAGGATAGGATGCATTGTTTAAAAAAAACAATTCCAGTATGAGTAATGTTTTTGGCTGGCCTGATTATTTCTCTGTGATCACAGGAGCAGAATAGGCACTTCAGTGTATACAGCAAGAAAACTATCAACGCAGATATCAATGCGGGGAGTTTTAGTCTATGTTGAACAAGATTTGTTTTTGCCATTTCCTTCTTTCAAAGAGGCTCGGAAGCATTTCGGCACTCCAACATTTAAAAGATAACAGAGCAGGCAGCTGAATATTTATGTGCAGTGATTTTTTTTTTCTCCAGTATTGAGTCTAAACAGCCCATCAATATTACAATCTTCCTTTGAGAAACAGATTGTTTGTCTTTCCGAGCTAGTAGTCACAGTATTCCCTGCCATAAATATCCTCTGTCACTGGTGCATTCCTCTGCCTTTAACCACAGTCTTTTTAGAATTTTCGGAGATAGTCATGTCTGCACCAATGCTTTTATTCCAGCGGACTGATCACAGGAGACCTGATCCAGCTGTGTCATGAGCCGCAGAGGAAACCACAGCTGATAAGAGACCAGAGAGGACCCTGAATGATGTGGGATAAGGTGTGCCTTTAAAGGCAACCCGCAGCATTTGGATTGCATTAGGAGGCAATCCTTGCAATGTTACAATTATCTTAATTGGGGCCTGGGTACGTGAAGAAATAATAAATTAGAAAACAACTGGCTTGAGATCACTTGAGGATAGCGTAAATATGCGGTGTCGCACAGGATTGGATATGAATCAAGGGTCCGTGGGGTTAAACACGTCATCGTCTAACAACAGCAGTGTTAGTTGCCACAGACAGCTGGAATGTTCCACCGGCATGAAAGAAGGTGTGTCCGATCACAACAGCATCCCCCCACCTCTCTCAACACCCGCCTTCCCATCAACATGCCTCCTGGTTGACCCCCTTCCCCCAGCTCTAATCTCCCAGAATGAGCTAACTGGTCACTGGAGACAAATGGCACGGATCTGCCCTGTAGTGAAAACGCAGCAGGTGCTGTGCTGTCAAAAGCCACTTCACACCTCCTCTCCCTCTCACATCACCGCCGCTATCGGCGCCCTGCAAGGCCTGGCCTCCCTCTCCGTGGGAGGGGACGGTGGGGCTCTCCGGGGTTTGCTTGGTTATCAGCATATGCCAGCTTTGAAGTGAGCAGAGCCAAAATCTGGACTTTGTTTACTTGAAGGCATCTCCCTTGTTGTGTGTGTCAGCCTGAGGTAATTACAGCACAGTGAGAAGGCCTGACTGCGATGACACGGGAGGGTAGGTGTGGGGAATCGGCCCAGAGTACATCAGTGTCTGCTGCTGCGATTGCTCATTCGGATGTTGTGTAGACAACATCTCCTGAGGGAGTCAGCCCGATTGTGTGGGTACGATTTGATAGAATAGGCAGCGAGGGCCAATACTGTCATATAATTACATTGTTATCATAAAGTGCGGCTCTTTTGTGCATTCCATTCAGAGGGGTGTTGTATGAAAGACCAGCAGAGCAAAGCATTGCATCTGCAGATAATTTTCACGGTTTAAAGTTGGAATTAAATGAAATTGTCGATTTTGATGTACAATTATGTTTAAAAACCAATAATTTATCATATTATAACTGATTTCTATAAAAATCTTTTCACAGCTGAGTGTCTTTACTATATCATAAAGACAGGAATCCAAATATCTCTCATTATCAAAAGATGCAAATCTACTTGTTTTTGACTGAATTTTTAATGTTGTCACCAAAGATATAGTAGATATATTCTCAATATTACAGAAACACCAGTGACACTTAATTTGGGACTCAATTTGGTTTCTGAAAATTATATGATAATGAGACTTCATTCCTGTCAGCCTGTTCAATGTTCCTAAAATGATTTTAGCAGCTCATAGAATACTAATGAACTGTATAACCTTCAGACGTTTTTTTTGTTTGTTTTTTTATAGGTTTAACAGGAGCTTAGTTCGTTCAGAATTTCACATGATGCTAGTTCTGGCACACATAAAGAATTATGGCTCAGAATCCTGTTCCCCTAACCTGTTGACAATGTAAGTGTTAGCATGAAATCAGAGGTTAGATTCCACATGCAACTGAAGCCTTGTATGTGTGTGTGCGTGTGTGTGTGTGTGTGTGGTGGAGGGGACTGTAATCTGTAAATAAAATGACGCTGGAGACTTGCGGAGAGCAAATGGCCAGATATTACCCTGGTGCTGTTGAAAGTAAGGATGTCTAAGTGCTTTGCCAAGGGACTACCATGGAAGATAGCTTCATGTGTAATGTCCTCCGAGGTGTGTCTTATAATTGAGTACATCATTTAAATTCACTAAAGTTATTAAACTGTGCTCCATGCGGTAACTACAGAATATTGCGCTAACTTTATTTCTTACATATTTGGATACAAGAAGAATATTTGTTTCATCACTGTTTTTTAATTTGCCCAAATCAATTGTGGCTGCCTTCCACATTTAGGCGATGTTCTATTGGCCTGTGTGTTATTAAATGCCCTGAGCTCATAACATGAAAAAATATGTATAAATCTATTGCTGTCGATGAGTGAAAACTTTATGCTAACAACAGTGTGGATTCCCCCACAGACCAGAGTGACAAATCAAATATGGCAGGGAGGTAATGTGGCAGTGAAAGCCTTTTCAAAGAAAACGGACATAGATTAGGGAGGATCTACAAAGTCTATTGCAATCTGATAAGTGTTTGTGGTGTTTTCATTGGTGAGTGTCTCTACTTTTATCTTCCACAACTGCTGAGTTTTTTCTTATCATGTGCAGCAGGACAGTCTGGAATTTCTGCCTCTGATAATTGACTTGTAATCTTTGGTTGCCCAAGCAAAGAGTTAAAATCGTGCGCGCTGTGAAAGATTTCAGAAACAGACTCACTACATTTCCTTTAAGTCCATTCAAATACCTGGATCTTGTCAATATTGCACTCTGAAATTTTCTTTTAGCCAGACATCTCAGTTAGATCTTTTGTTTTTTTATCTTCTGGGAAATGGATTGACTGTGTCAACCTGACTGCTATTGAAGAAGCTGCAGAGGAAGAGAAAACACAGACAGCATTACGGGCCACAGTTTGTTCTGTAAACTATTCAAATCTAAAGGGATGGTTTAAATCTTATTATAACAGAATATGTTTATTTGGTTTCAACAATAAAAAAATGTTTTCCCTCTGTTCATACAACACTGATTGAATGTCTGTAGAGGTTTTGCCCAACCATTTCCAATGGTTTCCGAATAACTTTTGATACTTTAACTTATTTATCAAGTTTAAGAAATAAATGCTTATTATGAAAAAAGTTTGATTTTTAACTTTGAGCATACCTCTCATTCAGAGTTATGAGAAGCCTGCAGTATGTGACTAAATGAAGATTGGAATGATAACAAGCCTTTAAAATGAATCAATAAGGATTCAATTTTGGGAGTACTGCAAAAAATTAAAAAGCATTTCAAAATCTTCACAAAACTGTTCAGACGTCTGAATCAGTCAGACATGACTCATTTGCAGGAATCCTTGTCTAAAACATGATGCATCATAAATGTATTGCAGTGTTTAACAGTTGTGGTTAGTTCACAGATATCTATCAGATCAAGACGATTTCGTTGAAGTGGATAAGTCATTTAGCTTTTTTAATTTTTTATTTTCATTGAATTTTTTTCGGAAAATGTTAGCTTGGTTTTGTGCCTGGACCTCGAAGAAAAGATCATTACTACCTTTTAGTGAAGCCTCTCTTGGATAAAGGTAGACTGGAAAAACTGATGACAAAATAATTTGGTCTCCAGAACCTCAAAGGATTCCTAAAGTGCATGGGTTCTCTCCAGGTACTCCGGTTTCCTGCCCCTGTCCGAAAACATGCATGTCAGCTTAACTGATGACTCCAAATTGACCTGGTGAAATCTGCTTTTGAATTAAAAAAACACTTTTTGATTCCTCAGAAGACTTCAGTGTTTTATCTCGTTTAGGTTGATCCTTCATTCTCCAATTTCTGTGTTTATTGTGATAATTCAGTTTGGAAAGAAACCTCAAAATAAAAAAAATCACTAATATGTACCAATATTAAAAGTATCACTGTGAAAACACAGTTATGGCTTTGTTACATTTTCGATGTCTCTTTGCAAATAAACTCACTGACATGAGGGCTGGAGCAGTGCAGCTCGAGTGTGAGGTAAAGTTCCTCTTCAATGATGCCAAGAGAAAGCAGAAGCAATGGTTGACCTTGTCCTTCTTTGCTGTTGGTCTGTGGGTTTGGGCCAGGGACAGGAACTCCCTGTACAGACACTGTGTCTGCGATCGCTGAAACTACTCCACAGTAGAACGCTTTGTTCACTGCCACCAAGGAAAACCTAGACAACAAAAACACACACACTCTGGAAAAATGAACACTTGAGAGGGGTCGTTTTCCCCTCAAAACGTCTTGGTTGGGTTTCAGTGGTAAATAATATTCCCTTCAGTCAGGAAAAAAGATCATGCAGTATTACTTAAGCGTCTCAAGATAATACGTATAAAGCTGTTGTTATCGAACCATTAATCTGAATTTACAAGAGGTGAATGGTTACGACAACTCACATAAAAGAAAACCTACACAATCATAGTGCAACCAAAGATTTAAGTTTTTTAACTGTGGTAGGATGAATGATCAGAGAAAGGGTTAGAAATGAAGGGTACTTTTTGAAATGCAATCAGTTTTGGGGTCATGCGGTTATTTGTTTCTCAGTTTTTACATGAACTGGCCAATGAAAACGCCAGTGTTATTCTTAGTCATTTATATAATTCGATTCTGAACATTGATATAATGCAGCACTGGCATCGAAAGATTAACAACTCTTTTGTCAGTGCAAATAAACAGAAGACATTTGGCAACGGCACGCTAATAAAATATTAATACTACAGACACCGTAAGTCACGGGCAGTTACTGAGCACGTCTCATTCAATTTCAATCAGGCTGACCAAATATCACTGGCAAATAGTGTCACTTCAATCACTGTACCCCTAAAACTGATAGGTTATCCAATTATGTGCGTTGATGCATTTCCTGTGTAGCTGGAACATTTCTCATGACCTTTTCTTGATAGAAATGAAATTTTCTCTCCCCCAGGCTAAACAAAATCTCACCACACTCCACCCTTTGAGTGAGTCATGCTGGGATAGTCAAACAAGCCTACGCAGCGATGAATCTGCAGACATTACTCCCGGAGAAGAGCTGTTTAGAAATCAGCCACCGCTCTCCCTGCTGTGTCACATGGTGTCCGCTATATTGGCATGTCTTTTGGCTTTAGGGAGGTGTTGATTCAGGGTGGAAAGCCCTTCGCAGGTCTTTGCTCCCTGTCTCCGAGCAGGTTATCGCTCTCCGAAGCAAGCCGCCACGCGCCTGTTGCACCTGATTGTCTCATCGGCGCATTCCAGGTGAGAGGTCCTGACGAGTCACAACAGAGCACCCAGACAGTGATACACTTGTTCAGCAGCCACAGGTGTAGCTGTGCTCTTTTTCTCTTTCTCCCAGAGGTATTAGGCACCCTGAAGATGGGAGACTAAATCAAAGGCAAGGCAGCGT